CTATTTACACTGTTGTGTTTAGTAAATTTATATACCTAATAAAAAAAAGCTTTTTTTCAACATTTTAAATAACTTTAAGGGCATATTTTTAACATTTTTTTTTTTATTTTATATAAGTGCGTTAAATTGTATTTTTAAGTGATTTTTCTTTAAGGTATTTAAATCCGCATCATAGTTATCACGAACATACCGTTTATATATATATATGCAACATACCTAATTACAAAAAAGTATGAGAAGCAAATGTGTTTAAAATTCTTTTCTTCATAGGTACATTTGTCAATCATTTGCAATTAATTTAATGAGTTCTTATAAAAATTCTGCACAAGTAAAACAATACAATTATTCAAGAAGTACTTAAGCATACAAAAATAAACCAGAATAATATTAAGGTTGAATAATAACAAGAAAAAAAAAAACCACTTGAATTTGTAATTTCATTCGACTAGAATAGTAGAAACGTAGAATATATTATTTAATAAGAGTTTATAATACAAGAAATTCAGAAATACAACAGCGAGCGCCATCTAGATTATAAATTGTAAACTTGCAGACCTAGTCTTACTTTATAGCCCAGGGGTGGCCACTAAATTTAATTTTGGGAGCCGCAAATTTAAAAAAAGCTGATTCGAGAGCCACAATGTAAAGCGGTGTTTATATTTTTCATTTAAATCAAATGAAAGAACATTTATATTTTACACTACACAAAACATTATTGTTATTAATATTATTGTTATTTTACTTATGAGAAGTGCTTTTTCGAGTGTTCATTTTTTCAGCAAGTTTTTTGAAACTTCTGGCTGATAATTTGTAAGCGCAGTTCGCACAAGTTCACTTGAATGCTCATCAGTTAGTTCAGATGGATATTTACATTTAACGCATTTAATCGGCCGCCGTGCCAATCTATAACAACGATTGTAATGATAACGAAACCAACGGCAATAAAAACACTATCTAACGATTCTAACGGAATTATAAATTTATTAATTTTAGTCGAAGCACGGCTCAAGAGCCGCGGGCCTCGTTTTGGCCACCCCTGCTGTGGCCGGTCACACACGACGACTCGTGTACTCGGCGAATAATCGTCAATCGCGACGCTTTACGAGTCGTGCAGGAGGTGTTTAATCGTCGAGTTGGACGATTATTTTCACTAGCCGAGTCACTCTCGCGGTATCCCGTCGTTGTCGGATCCGACACGAGGGACTCGTGTGCTGATAAGAAATTTAATCATGGGTTTTCCCCCAAAATAGACAATTATTTGCCGTTAATATCGTTGTTTCGACAGTAATGGCAGCAGCAGCAGCAGCAGCAGCAGTAGCAGTAGCAGTCGTCGCACATCGTTCCCACGCGAACCGTGCTGTTGTCAATGTATCTAACGCAGTTCACAGTAGTTTAGTTGGTTTATAATATTATCAAGTTTCGGACTATTATATAAATAGACACTGATAACCGTTGTACGTGAATTATTTTACCATCGCAATCGCGGGCTCTCCTGCGTGACCCGTCGTATTGCTCGCCGCGTGTTTTTCCGTGTTGGCGAGAATATTGCACAAAATAAATTATGCACGGTGATCGGATAATGGTCGGGCGAGTGCACGAAGCCGCGAAAATCGGCCAACGTGCGAGCCGTGTGTGAGCGACATGATCGTCAAATCAATCTACTCGGCGAACATGCGCGATTACGGTGCTCGCCGTTTAGGTACCACGAGTCGCGCGGGACCGGGCTCGTGAAAAAAAAAAAGAAAAAGAAAAAATGACCCCTTGTAATTTTTTCGAATTTTTATTTTGACGTTTAGAAGGCGCCCCGCGGTAGCCGAATTGTCCCATGTGAGATACACGTAGACTCGACAATATCAATTCATTTTGTCTTTATGCTCGGGATCGGATCCGCGAAACCGGCGAAACAAGCTGCGGGCTTGCGGCCATAAACAAAAATTTGGACCGAAATTTACTAAGGAGAAAAAAAACATACACTTGCATGAACATAATTTACAGTTAGGTGTCGCAAGAACCGCGGCGCGGACCAGGGTTCATTGCACCGGGACCCTCCCTCACTTCAAGTTTTCGTACGCGGCCCATACAATTATACAGGTACACACATGGTACGACAAGTACTATGCGCACTGAAAACAGAATCGAATAAAATCGTGATTCGGCGAGTTGAATTTACACGATTTAGGCTGACGGGTGTCGTTCTTGTAGATAGTATCGTACCCACCTAGTATCGACCACGGGCGTCGTTGTTTTTTTTTTTGGGGTGTGGGCAAGGAGGGGACACGTCCGCCCTCCTGGTCTTGCCGTGTCTGCTATACGTTTGTGCGTAGTAAAATATTATAATTTACATTAAACACGTGGAATAAATGGAAAATTGACGGCCGCGTGATATTCTACGCGGTAGGATTGTTTCACTGTAGCGGTCTCCCATCGGTTGTTGACGGTATTATTCGAACAGTCAAAATAGCACAGGCGATTGGGAAAACGTTGTTGAAAATGAGTGCCGATAACCCGTCGTCAACCCGGTTATTGTATTATCACGTTATCATCTTACCCATTACGGACTTTTGCGCGTTCATGTGTGCATATATATTTATGCAGTAGCGACATTTCGGTTTTTTTAGAGGGAGTGGCCAAAAGTTTTGACCGACCCATAATAAAACTGACTAAAAATAATAATAAAAAAAAAAACCACTCGTTCCGCTCGCCAACTTTTTCGTTACAATTACGCTTTTACCTCGAAACAAATATCCTCATTACGCGTCATTTTATTGTTACTGTTACATGAATTACCCGTTTTTCTCTATCTCTTTGAGGGACAACAATCACTAGATTATTAACACGTTTACGTAGAGGAATACCCAAATCTATTACTTACCTATTAGCTACTATGTGAAGACTCAGTCCGAGGGGTATTTCACCCCGGTTTATGTCATATTTGCGCCGATATGTGTGGGATACACGCGTATTCTACGAAAAATACGACCACACGTCACCACGCACAATAGCGTAACCGTAGAGAACAAATCAGAAAAATGTACATCGGCTCTCGTGGGAGCCCGGTAATTTGTGGTAAAGTGCAATCAGAGTTAACAGAAAGTACGGTTTAAAAAAATTCGTATACAATAATTGTCATCGCATAGAAACCTTCAAAAACTGTATGCGTAGGCGCAACTAGACCACCAACTCCGGGGGTGCCGAAATTATGAACACATCAAAGACCAATGGGGGATATGTCCACCCCCTCCCACATACACATTTACACGACTCTTACAACAGTCAAGCACATATTTTATTTACAATTTTTTTTTACACACGAATTTATCATAACGATTTTAATATTGTTTGTCATGCGCATAAGCATTGTCTGTATAGGATATCTGTATTTTGTTCTGCCCATTAATTGTGAAATACAACGATAAAATATGTATTCATTATTATGGAAAAGTCGAACGGATATTTTTGGGCGTGCTCAAGACCCCCTAGCCCTTAGCCTTTTTTTTTTTCAGACGACGTTTTAATGAAATTATACCGGTGTCTAGGAGCTACCGGACCGCCGGATCCGCCGCAAATCCGCTACTAGTGAAATCAGTAAATCCCTCGTCGGGCTCGTAGTCTGAAAATTCACACATCGGACTTCCGGAGAACGGTCGAATCGTATTCCAATAAATCTGTAGGCCGTTGAAAACTATCCGAAATAATATAGGCACCTAATAATATTATGTTTCCGACTCTAATGTTCCTGTGTCCAACGTTCTTATCTATTGAAAATTATCGATAAAATAACAATTCCGCAAATCGCAATCGCATTATAACTGCGGATGGGCCGGGGGCGGCGAAGAGGGGTACCCGCCTACAGATTTTCGGAATCGATTACCTGTCTATCTGATAAATTAATTGGATTGAGCGACGAAAAATGGTAAAAATAAACCGAAATTCAAAGGGAATCCCGGGAAAACGTATTTATAAGTATCGGATAATAATAAATAATTCAATTACTGTCGACGGGATTGGGTACAAATAAAATTCTGTAAAACACCAAAATCCGCTGTTGGTCGCCAGTTTATGATCGGACGTCGCGCCGGCCCGCTAGTATTCCCGTCGTCTTTTCGTGCGCCACTCATTACGCGGCTGCGCTCGTCACGTCAAACGTAATATTAATCCGTGCGCGTAACTGTCCTAAACGGACGTGTCGTGTAGTGTCGTTTTCGATTTTAAAACGTTTTAATTGTGTTCTTTATTATTATTATTTTTTTTTTATTCCCCCGCGCGCGCGAAAGTGTTTTCGATAAGCTATTTTAAACAATTGTCTACGTATGCGCGCTGACCTTTGGACATCGATGTGGGCCAAGGCTGAATGCCTAGACAGTCGTAGACGTACCGTGTTCTAACGACTTTTCATTAGGATTTAAATTTGTCGTTACGGACATAGGTAACTATAACAAAGAATTACGGTAGGCCTGTCTCTCTCGCCGACGTGCCCGGACAATCCGATTGCGGATCGTGCGTCTCCGTCTGTTCCCGGGATCTCGGGCAAAGCGTTTCGTGTCGCGCCGCTGGTGTCACTGTTTCACGCGTGATAACAGGGTCAGCTGATAAATTGTTATTGTTCGTGAATGTTCGCATTTTACAACACAAACATATACAATTTCGTCGAGTTTTGCAATGTTCCTTTCATTATACCCTGACTGAAATAGTAACGTACGTACTATCGCAATTTTACAGTTTAAAATAATTATTTTTGCAAATACCGAATACATCAACAGTGGCGACAATCAAATTCGGCATTCAGACACCGCAAGACGATCTATCATAATATTACTAGTGTCTAGCTGTAGTGTTCCACGCGTAAGGTCTTAATAAACTCGGTACATTCCACTATTACAAAGTTAACTGGTGTAAATTAACTGCACAGAATGTTAGGCGAGTCGTGCATATTATTACATGTTATAACATAAGGGTAGTAATAGTCGGCTATCGTAAGCAAGTCATTGATTGTTCCTACTATGTACCAAAGTGGGAACCCAAGAGTCCAAATTAAATACAGACACAAAGAAGAACGGTCTCCAGAGTCGCTGTTTTGCTTATGCTTGAAGTATGTTGCGCGGAACTTGGACATTGTTTGTAAAGATACACCAGCAGGTTATACATTGCATGAAGGGTTAGCATTACCTAGTGAAATATGTGAACCATTTATTGAAGCATATCAAAATAACGGTGGCGAAATTTTCGATTGTTTTGCTCATCTATTTGAAGATGTTACCAAGACTAATTTGAGATCAGTTAATATACGTAATTCGAGTATCACGGACGACGGTCTTGAATACCTACTCCGTCATGATTTAGAAGAACTTATACTTACCAACTGTCAGAATCTCTCACATAAAACCTATATAAATATATTCAAGCATGCTGTTAACCTTCGGTCATTAACTATTGGTCCCAATGTACAAATAACTCCTTACAATAAGCTGTCAAACTGTTCACTCACTTTAGATGATGTTCCCATAATAATACATAGGAAGGCACCCAATCTTAAACATTTAGTATTACGGGCTATAGCAGAATCGCCCTTCAGCAGTGATAATATATTTCTGGGTGTTATGCTTGATAAGCTCTTACAGCTTAGGGTATTGGATCTCTCATATTGTTTGGGTGTTGGCAGTCTTCGATACTTGTGTAAACTTAATTCCTTACATACGTTGATACTTTTCGATGTGCCTCATTTGCAAGATTCAAGTGATGCAATACTTAATATCTGTACACTGACATCTCTCGTGTGAGTATTATATGATACACATGTATTTAATTTTATTAATTTAATATTTTAAAATTTGCGTGTGCCCAGTGTTTTAGATATATCGCAAACAGAATCGTATCCAGAACAAGGTGTTTACAAAGACGAAAACAAAACGTTGGCACTAATTGTGAAATGTCTACCGAATCTCATGTCTTTAGATATTTCTGGAACAAACTTAGCTGGAAAGGGTAAGTTTCTTTTGATGGTTACTTTTTAACTATTCTCAAATGTCTCCATATTTATTGTCCTCACTGATATAGGTACTGCTGAACAATCTCTATGTGAATCATTCAGTGACAAGAAGTCAGACATTCCTGGTTTAGAAAGCCGAGTAGATAATCCTTTAGAATTTTTAGGTTTATACCATACCATGCATAATGCTTGTCGACGGCATGATATTCCAGCAAAAATTGTAATAATTCGTGAATTTATATACCTACTTTCATAATATTTAATTAAATTGGTTTACCAATGTATTAAGTTATATTTGTGTTTACTTTTTATAGATAAGTGGCGACGCTAATGAATATCAAATATTCAATGCTGCTGCCTCATGCATGGATAAACCAAAACTACTCCAAAACATTTTAAATGATCTTTATCACCTGTTGAGATATGACCAGTGTACTCAGATAGATCAAGCACTAGATATAGTATTAGAAGCACTTACTAGATATGTAAAAGAGAAACTAATCCAAATTTCTGGGAGGTCAGTATTCATTAATACATTCAACTACATGAATTGTTAAATGTTTAATTAAAAATTATTTTAGTGCCACTCTGTTCTACATTGTGAAAAACAAAGACCGGCCATTGTTATTGAATGATGTAACAGTTAAACGACGTATCATTACTACATTATTAACTGGGATGGATTTTCACAACTATGATGAAACAATGATGCGTAATGGATGTTTGACTTTGTGTCAATTAAGAATACCTCAAGATGTGGTATTTATCGATAAATATTATTGTTATTAAATAATGTTTTTATCTAAATGACATTGCTAATCTCAAGAATCTCTGGAATGGATTTGGATGTGGTTTTCACTTTTCCAATTTTTCAATTTTCAAAGGAGGTTTATGGCTGTTTTTTTCCTTCAGGATTCAAATTCTAAATGGTGGTTGATGCTTGATTTTTGGTCTTAAAGTTTTGAAAACTAAGTTTTTAATGTGTAGGTGATCTTAGTGGCACGGATAAAAAACAGTTTTTTTTAACAAAATAGTATCTTAAATAAGTGGTATAAAATATATATAAGTGTTGAACGAGCATTTAATTTGTCATGGGTCTTGTTTCAGTGAGGAATCGCTAGTACAAATATACAATATGTTTTATTAAAACTTCTATTTTCTATCACTAGATTAAAAACATTTCTAAATTTTCAGTTTAATTATTGCAAATCTATTAACCAATCTTTATTTTTTATGTAGGTGTGTATAATATAACAAGTTGTTTTTAACTTGAAAATAACATGAAATATTTTGAACCTTGAATTTTAATTTTAATTTAGGATTTAAATAACACTCGCATATTGGCACATTTTCAAATTTTAACGTTTTTGGTAAACATGTTGCTCATGTAATACTACAATCATTTTTTTTTTTTTTTGATTACCATATCTATTCTTGATACTGACTATTCAGATATTTTAATTTTTAGGCACATTTTTATATTCGAATAATAAATTAACTATTTAGATCAAATTTACTTGAATTTTATAAAGTCTGTACAGTGAAATCATTTGGCATGAAAATAAATATTTTATTCCATTGGGCACTGTTTTAAATAATGTATGAATAGTTTGATCAATTTTAAATGCCTAAGAATAAAATAAGTTTAGAATTATAATTGGTTAATATTTTGATTTATGGATTGGAAAAAAAATGACCATGGTCCTCACAGTAATATCACTAGATTCGAATTTCTCCTTGTCAATTTTTTACTATAGAAATAATCTGTAAAACAATAAATAACTAATTAATATAATATTACATAATGTATTATAATGTTGAAATTCCCAAATTGGATTAACACAAATAATGCACCAACTTTTGGTTACTCAAAGTTTACGGAGTAAAAGAAATTGACTTACTAAAAATTTTGAGTTCTCGAAATCTTAAAAAAAGTATTAATTTATTTAAAACAGTTTAAATTAATTCAGTAGTTCATATAAAATAAATACAAAAATATACATACCTTTTTAAAGAACTAGTTTAAAGTTAATTGTTTATGTTTATTTGAAATAACTTCAGCTTTTACCAAATTTGAATTTTTTTGTCAAGGCATTGTTGAAACTATTTTAATTAACACAATTCTGTATTGGTGTATTCTCCTAGTTTCCTAGTCTTCCAAGTTTTATTTTTTTTTGTGAGTTACTGAGTTTTTATTGAAAATTTTTAAAATTACATCTTTAATTTTTATTATTGTAGACAATGTACTTACTGGAATTACAAATTCCTTGACTATATTTTCTTTTTCCCTTTTCAATAATTTTAAACAAATTCACTTTTTCTGTAAGTGACAATGTTGTCAGTTTTATTTTTGGAATCATAATACACTGACACATGGTGTATGATTAATAGAACAGATATCAAATAATTAAAAATTTAATCTATTGTATGGATTTATCAAGGTTCAAGTTACCGATAATCAAATATAATGGTTGGGTTTTATTAGGCAAAAAATAATTGCGGTGATAAACTACATATTTTTAGTATTAAATTAATATACGAATTACCAAAACTTCATCTATTTATGGAATTTTGAAAGGTTGTTATTTGAAAATCAAACGTGTTTAGTGAAAATAATAATGATGTCATATTTTAGAGCTATTTTTTTCTTAAATTGTAAAAAAAAAAAAAATTCCTAAAATAGTTCATACTTCTGAGATACGTTTGTCTTACCAAGGATTGATCACTGTAATATTATATATTGCACATTTTTTATTTTCAGATGTTTGAATTTAAACGGTTGGTTCAAATGTTGCTTCATATTGTATCTACTAGTGATCATGAAGGATTTGTTCAGAGAATTGGTATTTATTTACTTAACTCAGTTGCATGTCAAGTGAATAATAAACAAAAAAATGAACTTGGAGATGCTGGTGCTATCAAGGTAAAGTAATTAATGATATTAATCAGTAATGAGTTATTATTAGTGGTGGTTTTTGCTTAAAATAGTAGGTAATTGACATACTCTAAAAAGATGTAATAGTTTATTAATCTATTTTTAGTTAATTAAAAATCAATATTTATTCAGACATAAAATATATGTATTGAAACTCGTTTTTGCTTTAAACATGATTTCATTGACTAGGTTTAAAAATATTTCTAAAATTATTTGTCAGATTATGTATTCATCATTTAATTAATCAATAATGTGTAGTTGGTTATTTCTAGATTGCTTCTTTCTTATCATATTCCTTAACTTCAACTTTTTATTTTTATTTTAGTTTTTGAGTGGAGCAAGAAATGTATTGGTTCTAAAATTATGTTTATTGTACAATTATTTTACTAGAAATCTTGTTCCGAAGTATCAAATGTAGCACCTTTTCTGAAAGAAAATTCTGGGGTTGTACTTTAGGGAGGTAATTTTTTGATTATTCCAGGAGTTTTCATAATAAATGGGAACACTTACAAAAACAATGCTTTTATTATCTTAAATTTTGTTTATTTGTAATTCAGTTTAAAATGTTCTGAAAGACTTGTGATTTGGACAGTAAACTTATATTTGCCTTTTTTATGCATACAATTTTAAAACATTTGAACCATTTTTGATCATTTATAGACATTTTTATTTTTTTTTCATGTTATATTTATTTAGTAGGTACTCGATAGATAAAATTATTATACCAAACAGAAATGCTTGAAAATTAATAGAAGGTTCATTATAAATCATATTTTGTAGTAAATAAAAAAAAAAAAATTGAGTTTAATATGTATATATATTTTTATATGATGAATTTTAATATTATTTATTATTGACGAATATTGTAACACTTCGATACATGTATAATCGAACTCCGCTCATAATCGGTTTTAGTAAGTAATGGTTTATCATTGCGTACAGTTATACACTAAATTCCCATCTGTATACTATCCTCCAAAGTTTTCATCTACAACAGTAGCCCACCCGTCGTGTTGATATAAATATGTATGTCTTTTTGAATTCTCTTTTAACACCTATTTATATTAATTTCTGTCTTTTATTGTAAATCAACTTGTTATTCATTTATTTATGATCCTAGATAGTTCAAATTTATATTTTTGTATAGAAAATGATGGCAATAATTAAAGATCGGCTTCATCGTAGAGTATGTGATGATGTTCTTGAGGTTGCCTGGTCGACAATGTGGAATGTAACAGATGAAGCACCAACAAATTGTAAAAGGTTCCTTGATGGAAACGGAATGAAATATTTCATTGGATGCTTGACGGTAGAAATAATAATCATTATATAATGGATAAAATGTATATAATTTAGAATTTTGTTTGTTTTTTAGACTTTTCCAGATAAAAATGAGCTAATGCGAAATATGATGGGTTTATTAGGAAATGTTGCTGAAGTTAAGGAACTTCGACCAAGACTAATGCAAAGCCATTTTATTAAAGTGTTTTCTGATCTTTTGTTTTCAAGTCAAGACGGAATTGAAGTAACAACAATTATTAAAATATTTTCTTTGGTTTATCTAAGCAATAATATATTTGTTTTTTTGTATAGGTTAGTTATAATGCTGCTGGAGTTATCGCACATTTAGCTTCAGATGGTTATAAAGCATGGATTATAAAAAATCCACCAAGATGTAAAGTATTGGACCGTATGACAAAAGCTATACAAAACTGGAATCTAGATGCTGATCGAAATATTAATTATCGTTCTTTTGAGCCAATATTACAGCTTGCTCAAGTTAGGCATACACCTCAATGTGCCCATTGGGCAGCATGGGCTTTAGCAAACCTCACTAAAGTATACCGTAAGTATATTATTTAATTGTTTAAATGTCTTTTTTTTCTTTTTCTTTTTGTGGTTTACTGCCAATAAATACAATCCTGAGTCTTTGAATATTATCTTTCCTCCATAATTTTAGATGACCTAAAGGTCTCTTTCTTTGTGGAATATCTTCAGTTCCTTAATCTAATTGGTGAACTAATGAGGTTTAACTGTTATTTATTAATTCGACCTATATCTAAATTTAATAGTTCATAGTTTTGATTGTATTTTTATTGCTATTGGTTTTAGCTGAAAAATACTGTTCAATTGTGATAGGCGAAGGAGGATTAAGGATTATGCATGAATTACTTGAAGAAGATGCTCAAATTGATCAGAATAGTGAACCAGGGGTAATCCACAGCCTAGCTCAAACTGTCATCAACCAATGTATGATTTTTATGAAAAACACTGTAGAAGCATCATCACAGTTAGATCAGTGAGAATACTAATTTTATTTTTCATTTTATTCTACCAAAATATGTTCTTTATCTGTACACATATTACTAATTTCATAAAAATGAAGGAACGTGATACATTTGTTTTTGAAATTCAATATAAATATATTTGTATTATTTTGAATAGTGTAAATTGTGTAGAGTATGTATTTATACTTGACATTAGTAGAAAAAAAAAGAAACCAAAAACTAACTAAATTAATATTATAAATATTTATATTAATTGTTAGCATGTATGTTACTATTGTTAATCAAGTATGGTAATGATAATAATATAATTAGTGAATGTTATTTAATTACATTCAATGTTAAATGTTAAAAGTTTATAAATGTGTACCTATGTATGTACAATTGTAACATATATAATCTTAACTATTTTCTAAGACTTTGTGTCTTTTATATTCATAGTTACATCTTTAAAAGTTAATGTTTTTTTTTTTTCTTTTGATTTATTATTACTACCATGAATATATTTCTTATGTTTTTATTTTAATTAAACAAATAACAAAATATTGTTTTTAGTGGTTAATACCAGTCTTGTATTTTTATACTTATTGGAAAAAATGTTTGGATACATATTATTCTGATTATTATTTTTTTTTTTTGCATTTGTTATTCACCAAAAAAAAAAAAAATATATATATATGTATTTTTCTTCTAAAACTAATAATAATTTTAAATTTATAATTTAAATCTAAGATTCATATGACCATATAATAAATAATGAAGGTAGCATTTAGTTTTTATTTTCTATAGAAGTTTAATAAAAGAACACTAACAAATGATACATACAATTTTATCTGAAAAAAATTACTATGTGTTAATGATTTTTGTAGTGTTAGAAAAGGGAGGGGCTATTATACCCTCTTCTAATATAATTTTTTTTTTAATATTAAATTATTCAAACATATAATATTTTAAATCATTCTATGAAGATATGGGGAAAAATTATAGAAAAGAGAATTTGAAGTAAAACATAAATATCTAAAAACCAGTTTGGTGATTTTCTGCCAGAGAGTTTAACGATAGAATTACCATTCTTTTTTTCATTTATTTGGTTACGTATACCGAGTATTTTTTACAAGACTGGTTAATACTCGAAAAAAATAAACGATATAACAATAATTATGTTAAATGTATATTTGAAAGATGCCATCTCATAAATTTTTTTAAGTACATTTTTAATGGTCCAACATTTTATCAAATATCTTACCATGTAAACCGAGCCTTACATCTATTAAACATGTTCACTCTATGCAAAAAAAGTAATATTTTCTATGTATTTCTTATTTTGTTTTTATATTTAGTCAAGGGTGAACTGTTTAGACCATTGGTAGGGTGATCTTTGTTTGGGCCGGAAAAATGTTGGATACTTAAATTTTTTTTGAATTATAATTGCATATTTATGTTTTTAAATTTAGGTAAAGGAATAACATTTTATGTTTAAAATATTCAAATAAGTTTTTTTTATTTTATCTATGTTGTTTTTTGCCCTAATGCTGTTTCCCTCGGACCAATTTTGATTCCCAACTTGTCCCTTTATTCACTCTGGCTTTGTTTTTAATAATAAATTTTGCAATTTTTACAAAAGTCCTAAATAAAACATCCAATAATAAATACAAACAATTTTTAAATTAATTTTGTTAGTATTAATAAACCATTAATATTTCAAATATATATTTAATATACTGTACACTTATATTTTTATATTTATTTTGTATAATTTAAATATTTTGGGATGACCTTGAGATATTTAATTGCATTTTACAATAAAAATGTTATATTTTTACCTAACACTATAATATATTCCAAAACGGATTAATAAAGTTAATTTATATTTTCTATTAACTACCTACTCACTTTATAAATTGTACATTTTACGCATTAATATTTTTGCTAAAATTTGATTAATAGTGTAGATAATTTTAAATTCTTTTTTGTGTAACTGGATAAAATACTATTATATCATAATGCATTATTTAATCTATTTGTATGAAATAATGTTTATAGTTTTTATACATATATAGTAATCATCATAGTGTTAATCATTTAAAGGTACTTTTATTGGAAAAATAATAATTATATCAATATTCGTTTTGGAATTTACAAGTTGTGGTATATAACTAGTTTTTTTTCTCAAATGTTGTGGTATAAAATTTAAAAATATAAAATTAAAAAAAAAGTTTATTACATTCCAATTATCGATTAATACTCTGAAGTTATTTTTCATAGTTTATTGTATTTTGTTTAATAACCCGTGTTGACAATTGTTTGATTACTTATTTTTAGTAAATAACTTATATCTGGGTCTTGGATTTTGTGGCACATAAAAATATTAAAATAGTATTATAATGTTAACCTAAATATTATTATATAATAATTAACAATATCGTAAAATTATGAAAATATTTAAACGTAATAACATTAGTCTTAATTGCAATAAATAGAAAAATTAATATTCACGTGGCATAGCAACTATTATATTTAACCAATATAACTTGTGACTATACAGGTTTGTCGCTAGACATTTTTCGTTCTGAACTAAAAATGTTATGCTTCTCAGACACTGCAGTTATTGATTTAATTTTACTGTTCGTATTTATGTCCAATTTTACAGCTCTGCTGAAGTATAACTTGCTTGTATCTTAGCGACTGATCTAATAATTTATTGAATTTATTACTTTATGATTTACTTCACATTGTTAAAATGCCGATTAGCAAAAGCAACTATGGCCATTATATCTTAACAAATAATTACCTAATACAAAAATTACATTAAATTTAAAATAAACCATGCAAGTATATATACATCAATAAATAAATAAAATATTTAACAATTTTTTTTTTTTTAACAACTAAAACAAATAGTTTGTTTAATATTATATAATAGTATTAAAAAAAAAATTTGAGATATCCTAGACCTATTTTTCAAATATTTTTAATGCAACCATGTACTAATAGTTATTTTTACTATTAATTTTATATTGTTTTTATTATGTATTTATAATATTATCAGTTATAACATATTAAGCTTATACAGCTATATTACTACTCACTATCACGTTAATATAAGTGTTTAAGTATAATGGTTATCGTGTTATATAATAAGTATATTCATGTATTAATATAATGGTAAAATTGAATAAATGTTGTTATGTATGGAGGTGCAATATAAGAGGTCTTAATAATTGTAAATAATAACTATTCAGTTGTATAACATACGAGTGCTGTTATTACACTATAGAAGATTTCAATTGATTGAAATTAATTGTTTGAAGGTTAAATTATAAATTATTAAGTCTTGAAAAGTATAAATTTTTCAAAATAAAAATATTGCCGCGGTTAAACGATAGAATAAAATAATAAATATTATCTCGGTTAAGTTAAAATATTAATGTTGTGATACATCTATAAATCTACAATGTATGAGATAACCTTACCTATCCTAGTCATTAGATCTACATGTTTTTACTTCAAAATTAAATCGTATTTACATTATAAACTATGTTACTACTTACCCACTATATATTGTATTATGTAGAATTTAGATTACGAATGTTTGGATAAACATGTATTTTATAAAATTGAAACATTTAAATAACGTGTACATTGTCTTTATAATATTATGTTATGATCATAAAAAAATACATAATTGATTGTCAAAATTTCAAATATTAATACAGTGTAATATTTATCATTGGCTATTGCACAACAAATTATCACTAATAAAATCAATTAGTTAATTTAAAAACAAAATACTTTTTTTTTATCCATAAAATATTAAACGTTTCAGGATCGTATGTGAAGCTATTGTACTTCACGCATTGTCACTAGTGTACGCAGGGGCTGAATCCCTCTTATTGACCGTTTACATATATATATATATATAAATAATATATATTTGTAGCTTTGTGGAGGGCCAATGTAATTTTTTTTTTTTTTAAATAAAAAAAGAAATTGTACAATTATTTATTTTCTGAATTAAATTTGTTTAAGTTTTTGTAAAAATTAAAAATTACCTTAACATTTAATAAAATACACAGAGCCTTGTGGGGAAATAAAATTTCAAAGACCATTTTCCAACAATCGCAAAATGTGGCATTGGTTCTTCTTGTACCAAGCCACAGATTTATGTATTATTGCACACATATTTTTATATTTTTCAAGTTTCAACCGTAATAATAATTAGTAAATAAGGACTTTTTTTCATAAAATACTCTTATTTTTGTAGTTAAATAATTTTACCACTATCTATTAATTAATTAACTATATTATCACAGAATAAGATATTATTAGGTTTATAAGATTATTATTTTTGTTTGAACCGAGGTGACACTCGTTATAAACAATGGTTTTGTTATTATTACGGCTTTGATGGTTGGAGTTGTTGTGCAAACGCGATCTGCCACACGCCCACGCGACCTTAGATAATATCTAGGCTTGCAATATTTAACTTACTGAACTGATGTTACCATCGTTAAGTTAGCCCATGGATCTTGTAGATAATAGTGTAACTTTTAATTAGTGAAAAACAATTATGTAGACAATTTTGTTTTCGCTTATTTCTCTTCCGTGCCGATGTAATTAATATTTTGTATACTGAGATTTTTCGTATAAATTATGGCAGAAAAATGATGGAATATTTTTCGATTTTTAGTTTGAAGAAAAATAAATGTCAAGTTATGCAACCTACAATTCATACAATTCTAATCTTGGTTGGTCTCTGGCTTTTTTAATACTCTTACTAGCCTTAAAATTGTATTTTACTGACCGACATTTTTATGGTTACCTAAATATTAAAGTTTTTTTTTTTTTTTCATTTTTGTGTTTATTATTATATTAGTCAGAACTATGAATACAATTACTTTATTATCCAAACTTGTGACAAAACAGCTGATTAATTATCATTTTTCGAGCCTTCCTCCCATTGGAATATTCTGCGTGTACGCCACTGCGCATTGATACTAGTAATATTAGTTTTACAATATTTTCTACATTGATTTTTTACACAGCAAAAATGTAGATAGATAATTTACACGTGGAACACTAGAATTATCATTTTATCTCGTTAATATATTGTTTAAAAATTAATTTGGACACCGGTGGTACGATTCGTCAGCAAATGTTTGAATTGAAATCCTGATTGAATTCACGATCACGCCGATGTGCGCATGTCGTACGCATTGTTATACTGGTTATGCGCAATTTGTTTTTTTTTTTTTTTTAATCATTACAATGCAACATCCCATACACATTATAGAGCTATTACAACTTTGCAGACCGTCTGTATGTACCTATAATTACAGGGTTGTTGACAGAGCGAATGATTTACAGTTTGACGATTGTGACCCGGGGATCGGAGATCCGCATACGGTTTCCACTATAGTCTGATATTATAGGTGTACCGGGTTAAAACTTCATATTGAATCATTATCGGCATAATACGTGCAGCGCGATCACGCCGGTTCGCCGGTTAGGAAATCTTTTTTTTCTATAGAATCGTCGTCTTTTCTCCAACTATAATGCCATAAACCCGCGGACCTTCGATGCGGCTGCCATAGTTTCTCGTTGTTGTCCGCGCATTTTCTTTTATCAAAATCTGATTTGGATATTCGCCGAGCGGTTATCGCGCGATAAAATGTGTGTTTTTTAATGCCTAATCCATTGGTACAATCAAAACTTACCTATCGTACTTACTTTTGAAGTTATTTTCGATTAAAACAGTCCGAGCGAGTGTAGCGATCGCGTGACCCCGCCAGGTCTTTAGGTGCACTCAAAATGGTTTTTCATTTTTCCCTATTACCTACCCAAGCCAGATAGACTTTTTTTGAATTAAATAAAGAAACTTTGTTATCAAAATATCAATAATTACAAATAATAATAAAAAAAATGTCTATTTTTGACCACATTTTGGATTCATTCCAAAAACGCTATTTTTCAAGGTTTATGTATCTTAACTTCAAAAGTAAGTATGATAGATAAGTTTTGATTATACCAATGGATTAAGCATTAAGCAACACATTTTTGAAGAAAAAAAAATTGAAAATGTTAAATTTTCCCTAAGAAATACACGAAACGGTAAACCCGAACTTCATGAAGTTTTCCTCCATAACTTCCAAGTGAAGTTTGTCCGTCTTTTTTTTTTAGATTCTTAATGTACAGACAATAACACGTTTTGAAAAAAATAAATTTGAAAAACTAGCTTGGGTCTTGAACTAGATTCGTTCCCGTTTTAACAATCTAAGGATAATTGCTAAACATATTTTTTATGAATTGAAAAATATTTTTATGTTTTTTTTTTTTATAGTTGTAACGTTTAACGTTAGTTACTGAGAACTATAGAATTGTGTAAATGAAAATATAGGCTGCTTTAGCGTAAAAAACGTATAATCTTGAATGAAATGACAAAACATCACTGACTGTTGGTGCATTTATATGCATAGGTACTTACTGCAGATTTGTACTACGTCCATACTTTTTATTAACAATAATAATCATTATAACCGCAGCAGTAACCCGTATCGATACTATTGCCGAATACCGAGTACACAAGTGAAAAATAATATTGCTGAAACATACAATAAAAACGAATAATATTTAGATAACTGATGTAGAGCGACACGGTTTTTACCAAAAGTCCTTTAACTGGACGCCATTTTATCCATTTTACAATTGCGCAATAAAATACAATATCACATTACGCGCGAAACACTTCAGCTCGGCAAAAACTGTAAAGCCAGCGTCAGGGATCTTTGGAATTTCGTCGGATAAATTCGACAATCCGATAGGTTTACGGTGTCTACATGAAAACCAACGGACGCGTTCCACGTTCGACGGCGGACCCGGATTGGCTACTGAGAAAATCTCGGTTCGCGGTTTGAAATTTTGACCGCGGTCGTATGAGTATGGGTTAGTACGGCGCACGTGCGTGTTTATGAATCTGTTTGATCTATGTATTCACTAAAACCTAAAAGCTTTTTTTTATAATCCCTCCCTCAAATTAATTTCCATATACGCCACTGGTGGGCGTATGCAAGTTAAATACTGCAGTAGATGAGAATACAGGAAACTCGATGTAGAAACGAAAGATGGATGCAGTTGCCTATTCAGCCCCTTTCTCGTTGTCGCTTATAGGCTAATGTGAAATATTTACTATGATCTCTCACGAATTTCAAATGTTTTTTTTATTTTTTTATTGATTAGGTAGGCGTTTTTCCGACCGATATTTGTTGATAGAAATAGAATGTTTGGTTTCAAATATTTTTGTGTATTTTGTTTACCTAGTCGATGATATTGGTTCATTGAATTTGGTTGATGTTGCAAACGCAGATGTATCATATACATTATAACACGAATTTATAAAATAACTATTAACTGTCCATTTCTATAATCTATGTAAATTCAAGACATCGATGCCGAATATGGGCAGTTACCACAATGAGAATATAAATATATACATTTTGTCGTGATTATTTCCCTATAGATTATTTATGGTTTAAGTTGGATGATGAAGTTTGATGATGGAATTTTTTACTAATAAAATTATTATTAAGCATTAAAAAAATTGTAATAAAAAGAAAATAGTATCAATATTCCTGTCTACAATAACGACGAAACATATAGTTTACAGTTGTCATAACATTGTGGCGTCAGAGTTGTTGCACCGGAATTGACTGTTGCAGACTCGGTAGTGTTACAAGCACTTAGTTATTTGTGAATTGTGGTGTCCCGCAAAGGCCTGTATTCTGGGACCTTAACCTTTACATTTTATTATTTATTCTGACAGTTTGATAAATTTACGTAGGTACTAAAATCATTAGTTTTGTTAATGATACAGTTATTTTGATTACCTAGTACCTATAGTAATACAACCATTGAATACTGATATATACAATTTAGATTAACATACACAAAAAAACTGTCCTATAGGATAATGAGGACGGGTGCAGCCAATGTTATAGGTGATTTAATGTATATAACGATTAATCATTGCTAACGAAAAAACGATTCTGGGCGGAGTTCAATTGATAGTGTTGCTTTGTCAACAATATATGTGTCATATTTTGTTGAAATATTTACGTAGACATTATATTACATTTTCTTTAATAATATTTGTTCAGTATTGTACCGTTTTTCCCGGTTTTTCACATTTGCTTGGAAAATCGAAAAATTACCTGCTTAATGTATCTTCCCAGTCGGATTTCCTTTCAGAAAAAGTGCTATAATTGTTAATCGGAGCAAAATTGTTGGTAGAAAAGTTGTTAACAGGCAAAAAGGCTATAATATTTTTTAACTAATACCTACATTTTGTACATTTTCCCGGTTTTCTTCAGGTTTTTTTTATTGGTTTTTCACATTTGGTAAAAAAAACTTGAGAAAATCGAAAAATGACCTGCTTAAAGTACCTCTCCACATCGGTTTTCTTTCAGAAAATGTGCTATGTTTAAAAATCGGAGCAAGATTTCTGGTAGATGAGTTGTCCACAGACGAAAAAAAAAACCTTTGTAAAACCATAAGTACGAGCTGTCGTGAGCTTCTTCACTTCACTCGGAATCAAAAAACTTGAAAATAAAGCTAAGAACCTAGGTAAAGTCGTTAAAAAACAGCTCCCCGCCCACCGTGCGCAGCGTAGACCGACGTAAGTAATAGTTAAATTCGCCGCTATTCGGAAAAAAAATCGAACTTACTTGTTATCTCCGTAGACGTAATCGCCGTTGGTCTGTACATTATGATCAAATAATCACTCTGTATGATACGATATAGAGAGAACGGGACGCCCGGTGAGGCGGCAAGAGAAGAAGATGGGACAGCCGCCGCGTATACAAGGTAATTTGTTTGACATTTATCACGATCCCGCGATTTTCTCGGGAGGATTTTAAGAAAATTTGACTCCTGTAATTATTATTTTTTCAATCGTTAGCTACCGTCACCTAACCTATGAAATTGCTTTATTTTAAGGGTGTTTTGAACCTTTGACCACATCTAGAAACTAATTTTGGGCTAATATTAATATTCGGTGAAAAAGTCGGGCCTAGATGATCATCTAGGCCGTTATACAGAAAAAATACCTCGATGTACCCACCGGATATTGCTTTCGGGAAAGACGGTAGACTGTGAAGATCGAATTTTAAAAATCAATACATTCGTAAATTCGTCGCTGTGCTCGGAATCGAACAAATTATAAACACGTTGTGTAACGTACGAAAAAAATGTGCCATTGTATCGTTTCTCGGGAATCACCGCCAGTGTTGAATCAAGGTATGTGACAGGGTGGGCAATAGCCCCTCCTTTGGAATTTTGTTTGCCTCCTATGCTAAATGTGGGTAAATTAATAGGTAATTAAATAATACTGGTCTTGGTAAGAGCGGTAGATAAAAAAAAAAAAAAAAAACAAAGGTTATTACTATAATTTTAAGTAATGCCCTTCCTCCTCAGAATCACGGTCTGGGTTCAACACTGAACACCGCGCGTCCGAAAATCAATAGCCCGCGCGTTGTCCCGACTGCAGTCCCGGCGACAAACATTACACGGTGTAAACACGGTAAACGATTCCACAAACGACTTCCGATTTCCGTAATCTAGAAGAAAAAAAAAACCCGGACACACGTACTTCGCATCACGGGCGGGCCACTGTGGAAGTCACGCAAAGAGTAACCATTGCTAACGAAAAACGATTCCGGCCCCCGCGGAGTTCGGCCGCACGCACGTTTAGAATAGGCCGTAATATTCACGATTTCGAAAACGACACATTTCGTAAACGTCCCCGTTTTTCCGGGGAAACCCCCCGGGAGCGGGCAGACCGGAAAAATAAAAACGACCCCCTTCTCCACGAAGCACCGCCCCGGTAAACGCGGCGCGCGCGAAACGCCGGAACGGCGTACAGCCGACGGGTCCCGGGCACCACGAACGGTGCGCGGCGCGCGGTGTAACGTTCCGGACCGGTCGTCGTCGCGATAACAATATCGCACACAAACGTAACACCCTGTATTTTTATTAAATTTTTTTTTTTCCTTCCCATTTTATCTACGCGCCGCGCCCGCCGCTCCCGCCGACGCGCGCGCGCGCTATCGTGTAATTCGTGTTTATTGCCATAATAATATTACAATATTACATTTGTCGGTCCGTTTCACAATAATAATAATAATAATAATAATAATATCAATGTCCGTTCCTACTCTCGGTCTTGACGTCGTCACCGCCGCCGTTGCCGCCGCCGCCGCCGCCGTCGTCGCCGTGTCCTTTGCCGCCGATCCGCGCGGGTCAGTTCGATAGCAGCATTTACCGCGCGCGATCATAACCGGTACACCGTGTCTCGGTCTCTACACCCCGGCGGACGGCGCAAATTCTCCGTGTTTTTTCGCGTTCTGTGTTCCTATTGTCTGTCCGCACGCGGGATTTCCGTTCGGCGCCCTGACAATAACGATTATTAACGAATAGCACCGCGGTAATAATAAACGCAGGTAAGGCGCGCGTAATTTTTTTTCGTCGTCGTCGTCGTCGCCGCCGCCGCCGCAGCCGCCGCACGTTCCGGCGGCCCTCGCGGTTTTCCGTGGGCGTTACGTAACCGCGCGCAATCGGTCCGGCCCCCGAGAACCGTCGACCCGTGTCGCGCGTCCCCGCGCACCCGCCGCAGATTTCGCCCGCGTCGCCGTCCGGTCCGCGCGCGTTTCCGCCGTCTGGTCCGCGGACCGACCCGGGGTATAGACCGGACCGGGCCGCACCGCCGCCGGAGCCACGCCGCGGCCGCAGCCCGGGGGCCGACGCGCACGTATCCGGTCACAACGCCGCCGCCGTCGGATGATGTTTATGGTGAGCACGGTGTATAATCGCACAATACTATTTACCGTACCCCGCGGCTTCGTACGCGCGTTTTGTACAACGAGAGGCGCCTACCGCGCGCACAACAATATTACGCGACGTTCGTAACGGGCGCGCGATGTTACTAAACGTCGCCACCCGCCACACCGCAATGTATTGTACTGCCGTTCCGAGTTTCGTCCCGCGTAATGTTGTTTCCGACGATGCGATCGTGCCGCGGTCCTCGGGCCGAACCGTCGACCGGCGGATTTTCCGAGACGACGGGTTTTCGCGCGGGCACCGGTACACGACCGGCACCGCGACGCGGTCGTTAGCAATCGCGCGCGGACCGGACAGAGACTTCGGCGGTTGGCGGGTCGGGGTTCGTGGACGATGACGCGGGGCCCGGCTTGAAGGCGGCGCGGGCCGTGCACGCGCGCAGAGCGTCCGCGTCTAGCGATTCGCGAGTGATTATCTCGGAAATCGGCACGGACGTGAACCGCGGGACGAGTGTCGTGGTGTGCCGTAAAGATTCGTCTGGCGCGTTTGCCGTCGGACGACAGCGAAGAGTCCGGGGAAAAAAAAAAGAAAAAAGGACGCAACGCGGCGCGGCCGGGGCCTCGACATTTCTCCCGGGGTTCCGCGACGACATTATTTTTCACGACGAAAATAATGTCGGGCGGTCGCAATCGTCGGTGTTGCGCAATCGGAAACGTGCGGCCGCCGCCGCCGCCGCGTTCGGTCAGCAGTTTCCGTCGACGGCGCGGCGCCGCCCGACAGCGTCGCGACACCCGGCAACAATAACAATGACAATGACAATGTTGTTGTTGTTATCATTTCGTGTAACGCGGACGCGTGTGCCGCGGTCGGGGACGGACGGCGACGCGGGCACCGGTGTGTGTCGACCGCCATCGCGCGCGCGCGTTTGTCGTATTTCCATCGTTCGTTTAAACGCGGCGTTGCATAAACACGTTATTGGAACGTTAACGCCGAACGACAACAATCGTAATAGCGCACGCATTTGCCGGACGCGGACGCCGCCGTATAGGCACCGGGGGGGGGAGGGGGGGGGGCGTTTCTCTGCCTCGTTCGTTCGTTCTTTTACCGCGCGGCACAGTAACGTCCTCCGTAGAATATTTCGCGATCGACGACCAACGTCCGAGCCCGGGTCGAGACGATTCTGGGCCCGGGTCCAAACGGTTTCGGGGGCCCGTAAACGTGTCCGAAACACCGGCGACCGTACCGAACCGCGCGGCCGTGGCCGGGGGCTCACGGTTACGCGACGTCCAGGTGCCCCGGGGCCGCGGCCCCCCCTACCCACCGTCCCCTTCCTACCCATCACCCATCCTAAATCCGGGCCGGACGACATTGTAACGGCTCGTCACAGTATTATTAATGCGCGTACCGTTCGAAAACCGCATCGCGAGCACGACGTTTTCACGGCGATAACGTCTGGTCGATTATCATGTCGTCAACGTATTATTATTATTATTATTATTATACGGGCATACCCATCGTCGTCATCGACAACAACAATAATAACGACGCCGACATTCCTCGGCTACCGTTGCCGTGTGGCCGACGATTTCGCCGGACTGGTGCTGCCGGGCCCGGGGATTAGGGGCTGCGGGAGCCCGGGGGCCCATATTAATAAGGAGACTTATTCTTTTAAAACGGAATAAACGGGCTAAACGACAACATTCGAGTTAACGAATGTTCGATTCAACTCGTAGTACGGTCTTTGCGGGCCCCGGGGACGCGGCCCCCCTCTCCCTCCCCACGGATTGAAACTAAAGAGAGAGAGAGAGAGCGGGAGAGAGATGCAGTTATACATCTACCCCGGTATAATATTTTATTCGCGGGTCCGGTTAGGTTAGGTTAGGGCACGGTAGGATTGTACGGTGGCGACGGATTCGCAGTATCTTTTCCCTAGACCATCACGATCAGTCTCCATTTGACACGGACACGCGGTCTTCTTGCAGCGCGTCAAATCGAAATCCGATCGAATATTAAACAAACGAAGTCTGTTTTTGTGTGAACGTCTATTATTTTATTCAATATTAAATTGGCGGATTCTCTGCAGTGTATAATTGTTTTTTGACCGAACGATCGTGTTGGATGTTTTAGCAAATTTAACTCCATCGCCTATTTCCAATAGCGGATGCATTTTTTTGCAGCCGTGTTTCGGACACGCCAAGATGCGTTTTTATTTCTTGAAAAACACATTTTCGGTTAGCAAAAATCTTCCGAATTATTTACACCGCATGGTAGTACCCGTAACAGTTGCGGCGGGTTGTGTGGCCCGGTAGTGGTTTTGATTTGACACATTTTTCTTGATTCCCCGGTATGGGTTTTCTTAAAAACGTTAAAAAACAAAATGACGGTACGTCGGTTTTATTTATTTTTAATAATTTCTGGATTCTTTGGCAACTAGAGGAAAAACCCACGACTAATATTACAACCTTATCGGTTTACCGTGCTCCGCTCAGAACGGCGTTTCGATTTCAACGATTTGTCGTTGTTTTCAGTATAATTATGTTGCATACATCCCCAGTTTCTCGCTTACACCATTAGCTTATCTGTAGAATACAGTACACAATGTGTCCGGATTTTTAAATGTCAAAAACTCGTAAAATCATATTTTTATTTCATATCGATTCTCCTACCAATGCCCGATCGAATAGTAACACCCCGAACTGACTGCAATATATTTAAAACACCCGAAGTAATTTTTTAAATTGAAATCACGAATAATGCAGTAGATATGTACATCGTCATCGTTAAATGGTTTTAAATTGGAATACTATATTATTGATACGCCTAGTTCGCGAATGATGCATAGGATTTCGGAAGACTGCGGTAAATTAGTGATCATTACATTATTCAATTTTAATCGACGACGATTGATTTAAATTGAAATACATAGTTGTTTATAAACGGTGTTTTGGCGAGAAGAAAAAACAGAACCGGTTTTAAAAATTCCATAATTTCGATGCCATTTCGCCCGTCAGGTTTCTGTTAAACGATTAGAATTTTCAAAAATGTATGAAATAGGTAATAATGTATTTTGTAATGCAGTGTTTTTTTTTTTTTTTTTTTATAAGAGTTGAAATCAAATTTTAACGAAAATAGTAAATATTACAGCCTTTCAAAACATGCGTACTTCGCTACGAATCTTTTTTCATTAGCAATGGCCTATCGTTGGTTACAGGCGTGAATTAAATAGCTTTATTTATCTCACCAAGTATTTTATCTTCCCATCTATATACCTACAACAGTGGCCGCACGCGTCCCCAGTATCAGCACTTTATTTTATTTGGTAGGTACCTGTTATTTATTTAAATTATATCATGACTTACGATAAACGATTGAAAACTTAATGTTAACTTAAAACTTAACACAATAAGATACATTATAAGTTGTAACTACTAGTCTATTAACAATTTTTTTACTTTTTCGTCTAATTGTAGTTTTTCTCAACTATTATCAAAAAATTGTCAGAAATGTTTACATATTTGAATTTTTATTTTCAAACAACGTTTATGTACAATTTATTTAACAATCAAACATATAATCTAAATGAAAACCAAATACAAAATAAATACATTAATTTTAATTATTATTTAAGATTTGATTTTGGTTAACTAATCTAACCTATAATAATAGGTCAACTTTTAGAGTAAATATATGATACAATAAATTTAATATTGAAGAAAATTAAAAAAATTATATCGTGTTTTATACGGGTTGTATTCTGAAATACCCACTTACAACAGCGGCCTACCCATGGTGCGAAATAGGTTTTATAAATGTAATATGATTCGATTTACATCAATTTTCAGCTCTCTATTTCATCGAGGAGTACCTTATTTTTTTTAAATTTCCTCAATGCCTATTAATTACTATAGCTGCTGGTAAATAGATTATAATTATTGTGTCATAACTTGATTATTGACATCTGTCGTGCATGTTTTAGCTCTCTGTATCATTAAAGTCAAGGTTATCAATTTTAAATGTATTATTGTCAGGATAATCTTACCGGTGGGGGGGGGGGGGGGTAAGATCGTTGAAGTATTATCTTGTCCCCGTGACAATCTAACAGGAGAGGTAAGATTATAATATATAGCATATTTTCTGAAAGGAAATTTTATATAGTTTGTGAGTGAGAAAGTCGTTGTTTCGGTTTTCCGTAAAGTTTTCCTAAACTGAAAAACATAGAAAATACGACTAAGCGTACGGCATTTGGGCGATACCGTGGCTAGAGTTAAACGGGCATCGGTGCGCATTTAATTTGTGGTTCCATTATTTTCCATTAATATCCATTTTTATTATTTTCCATCATCAATCTAAACACATTATAAAAAAAACCAATACTTATGAGTATATCAGACATCAGCGTATCACCTTGACATTTTCTATTGGCTTTATAGTATATAGATTATATATTATGTGTATATAAATATAAATGCATAAAAGTTCATAATAGGTAAGGTAATTATAATATAATAACCGGGTTGGCGGGTTACGGGCCCCCCACTTACGACGGCATTATCACTGATGTTATATACCATCGATCATTTATCGATAACATTTTATTAGTTCAAATGATTGTCTTAATTAAATATTAACGTTCTACCGTAAAGGAAGGGGGTTGGGAGTCAACCCCCCCCCCCCCTGAAATGTATTCCTTCACTAATTTTGTTTAAATCAAATTTTACATTCAACTGCATAATACCATATACCGCAGAATAAAATACAATTTAATTTCATCAATAATATGACATAATGTGAAAATTTAACATTCCTGCAAATTTCGTCTAGCTGGTCTTTTTCTTGTATCAATTGCAATGCTTCCGTCAGTATACTTTTGTACTGTTCTTCCATCGAATGATTTTTTTTAAACCTTCAGCATTCATCCTTTTGGGCAGTGCTGTTATTTTTTGCCGTTCAACTGCCAGTCTAATTTCAATTTTAATTTTTACAAGGAAATGGTCCGATGTCGCACTACTTCCTCTCATACTACAAACGTGTATCTCCGATCCATCTCTTTATTTTTTTTTCTACAATGACGTGGTCTATTTGATTCTTTGTCTGACCAGATGTTGACACTTAAGTTCGTGATTGTTTTTGTGTGAAAATGTCACTAATTATCATGTTCTTTTTAATAACCTAGTCCTATGCCCAGTCCTATATATTATACGATGATCGCATATTCCAAGTTTCAGTTTGAAAATTCTTAAGCTCCACTTTTAACCGATGCATATTTGGTCGATTCCTATCCAGTTTTTTTACACGTAGGGTATATTAGACTTCCGGTAAAATTCCGGAGAGAGGACAACTTCCTGACTTCGATTTTCAACTATGTAACCAAAAACCATAAAAAAAAAAAAAAAAAAATAATAATAATAATAATACTAATAAAGTAAGAGAAACAATTGGTCATACTATTCAAACAATAGTTTTGAAAAAAAAAACCGTTCAAAAGTCCAATGAATCCTGTAGGAAGTTTAAAAAAAAAATCAAATCGAAACCAGATCAGTCTATGAGGTTTTTCTGCCCCGTTAATCATTTAAAACATGTTTTTGGGCAGTGATCTGGTCACACGTGGTCCCCTTAAGTGCCTATTTATGTAAACTCGCCGATCTAAATTGTATTATTTTGTAAATTTCTGCTTAGAAGTCATATCTTTTAGGCTAATTTATATATGTATAATATACGCACTCGGCGTTTCCCGTACCATTTTTTCATTCGTTTTACATTTATTTCCGTTTTGCTTTGCTCGTATCAGTATATCGAAGGAAAAAAAATAAGTGGAATGTGTGTCAGTAGAATAACTAATGTTTTCCATCCGTGTTACCATAGACACCCGCACAGCACAGGGATTAAACATATATCCACTATAATAACGCTAAAATGATAAGGACACAATATAATAGTACTGTAGTAGCGTAGTGTTGTTACTGTACCAAAATACGCAGATTCAAAGATGACGTTTTACGTGTTTTCACTTACCCACTCAGTACAACGCATAGTTTTTCGTTTTTTTTTTCGTCCATGTTATCAAATTGGTTTATCCTATTTTTAGCCAATAATATACCGGCAAACAAACATATAGATTCTCTATTTTAAGTCGTTATAGTTGTTATGGAATTTTTATTTCTGTTTATTATTTATATTTTGTTTTAAATTGTTTTTTATTTTGTCCGTGTAACTAAAGTAACCTATAATTCAACAAAAATAATTTAATTTTCATACCAAAAATACCTGAGAACCTTTCATCCTACATTTCATTCCCTTCTTGGTCTAATCACCTAGATTAATATCGAGATGAAGACTATCCTATCTTGTGAATTACACACACACATATTATCTTATAAAAATCGGTTGAGTAGTTTCAGAATGCATTACCTCTAGCGCGATTAGTAGTTAGCGCGATTTTTATATATAAACTTTATTATTGGATTAATTATGCATTTTAATTAATAATATTTCCATTTAATTTCTTTATTGTTTTTTGATTCTTGTCATCTCTTAATCCCCTTTCTCTCCATTATTGAATTGTGTAAAATTCAATATTTTGAACACAATTCACAATTATAATATAGTAACGTAAAATTATTGTAGTGTAGTTGATATGGGTATGCGTAATATGGATAACATGAATGACCGTCATTGAAAAAATCTCATTTTTAAGTATTCAAAACAAGGGCTAGGTATATATTCGAAAATATTATGTGCAAGCAAGCCAATCTGCAATTTACCAGATCAGATTTTTCCTTCTCCCACCATCATAATTTATTATTATGTACATTGTTTATTTGTTTTGCTCTATGATGTAATGATTATACCAGATAGTAAATAAAAAATATATATATTATAAAGATAAGAGAAGTATATAATAATGATAACATACGTGATTAATTAAACGGAAAACCTTACAAGGAAATAAACATATTACGGGCACGATTTCGTCCGAGAGAACAAAATAAACGTTTGTATTCGTTTCTATCCCGTCGAATAACACAATAACAACGGTATTGTTAATTTTTTAGTTTTCTTATCTATATTTAAAACTTTTTAGATTTAAGGTAACGTACCTGTAATATACATTACCTGTAAGATATCGTACAACCGTTTAGATACATGTTAAATTATCATGTGTTCTATGAGATGCCTACTGAAATTGAATTTATACATTTTGATTATTTTGGGGGATGGAGGGGGAATACTCCATTTGAATGTATTAATTCGTCTGCACCTTACGAAAACCCCTCGAGAACGCCATCGAGTGACGGTAATACTATAGTAATGATAGCGTAATGAGTTGTAATGGGTACGCGTAGTGAAAGCGAAAACAGATAGATATAATTAATTTCCGTAATAATATGTAAACAATAAATAATAGTTATGCATGTACCTATTCATTTTGGTCGATATCACGAATTAAGATATTATATAGGATACGCGACGATCACTTGTCAGCTGCTATACGAAACTTCTTAGTTTTTGAATTAGCAGGAAGCGCTCGAATGCATCTGTGGCGAGTTTTGTACTATATTCTGATTCGCGAAAAGTGAGCTCTACAAAAAGCTTTAGGTACCAGTAACAATTACAAATTAGGGCTAGATAATTTATATCACGAATAAAGACATATTAAATTGTGATTTTCATCATAATGAATGCACGAATTAATATAATATCTAGTCAATTATAATTTACATTAAAAACCTATTGTCATTTACCAGTATAATCTGCTTCTTTCACTGTTCATGTTTCCTTTAATAAATAATTATACTTTATATATCGGAATTATCAAATCAATTTATTAAGTAAAAATGTTGAATTATTTCACGAGTTTCATCTGAATTTCACCTGGCTCTCGTTACGTGTCCTATATATCTTCACTCGTGGTCGATTACCTATATTAGCATTTTTGTCGATTTTCCGAAATTTATTTCTTGCTTTTGGTATGTTTTTGTGTACAATAATTTTACATTCGGCGGGTCCGTCACCCGGACGGGCGTGGATTCAGTCGCAGTGTTTAAATATTCGGGAATTTCTCTGGCACAAAGTTCTTTTATAACACCATTAAAACCGTATACTTATAAATACTTATCATCCGATTTCATCGTCTTATAACGATATCACCAAATGTGTCGCATAAAAAATGTGTTTAAAATTTTACTACCTATAATATACTAACCGAAGGTACATAGGTGTAAAACGTGGCTGATATTAGATATACTTTTGTGGAGAATATCTCAACTATACCCTAATGTTTTATTTGTATAGAACTTGTACACGTTATCCGTACCTATAGTTGTATTTTATAGGTTAGTTCGCGTGCGATAAACAGAACTTTAACGCGAGAAAAATAACATGTGATAATAATGCACGCCTAGCTATATCACTGCGGCGGGTTCAATGTATAGACGAAAAAAAATACGATTTTTCATATTTTATTTATATTCTATATTTCTATATGCAGTTATGAGTCGTAAATGTAATACAGAGCGATTATTTATCGTTGAACACTCGCTATTTCGCTAAATATTGATTTAAAAAAAAATGTTTGTCAACCCGTTCACGAGATATTCCACACAAATGATGTTTCAAAATTGTCTCTATACCCAAACTTAAAAATCAAATATCTTGTCAATTGATTGACAGAAATGGAAAATGTTAATACCAACATTTATTTAAACTATTACTCTATTTATAATGTATCGAACTTTTAATATAGATTACCGTTTGAAAATCAAAAGTTGGTAGTCGTCACTCCTAAAAATAAGGGTAACGAAAAATGATGAAAATGTAAAATTTTAGATCTGCTTTTTTCTTAAATTGTCAAAACATTTTTTTTTTTTTTTTAAAAAAAAAAGTATACTTTGCGAAATAATGAGTGTTCAACGATAAAAGAACCACCTGTAGAATAATGTGAAATACGGAGTGGGTGCGACAGTTTCAAATCGTTTTTGAAAACTTACTACCAATATTTATACTATTTATAGGTACCTCATCATTTACCGATACCATCCGAAATTATATGTAACCGATAACGTTATTTGTTTGCAATTTATTGCTAATATTTCAATAATTATTTGAATAGCGCATGTGTAGATCTCATTATTTTAATTACAATAAATATACTTATCGAAATAATATTATCAATGTACTTACCTATATTTAATAATTATTATCATAAGCGTACGATTTATTTGTTATCGTGTTTTAATTAACATAACGTTGTTTTTCATCAAATTCACGAGAGAATTGCAACAAATAAAAGAGCTGATACTGGGGATGGGAGCGGCCACTGTTGTAGGTGAGAAGTTGGAAAGGTAGGATACATAAGGTTATTTCATTTATGTCTGTAAGCAACGATAAATCATTGCTTGACGAAAGACGATTCCGAGCGCAGTTCGGTATTACATAATTTGAAGTGCCTTTAGTCCAATAAAGGTATTATACAAAGTTTCAAGTCACTACGTGTATTTATAACCGAATTACAGCAAAAGAATTCCCAAAATTTCAATTTCTTAAAAGCTCAAAAGTGACTTAAAATTTTCGACGACGATACCGTAAGAAAGTAAATCAAAATGGCAACAAAAAAAGTATCTTGTGATTTTTTGATTCAATCATTTTTTCTAGTAGAAAACGTCCGTGTTATTATAAAATAATGAAGTTGTGAAATTGTACGTTTTCCTACATTTTTTTTTCAAATTAAGTGCTTTTATTTTAAAAATTTGGTCGAAAATCGAAACTGACCTTTTTAAAGTACCATCTAGACAACTTGAGCTTTCAGAAAAGTTATTGCACGTAAAAATCGGAGTAAGTTTACTTGGAATTGACGTGTTCACGGTCTAGAACAAAGAAAAATAATAAACATCTTATTAATACCAATAGCTCCTTGGCTACGCTCGGAATATAAAATAAGTAGGTTCACACTATAATATTGTATCGTAGGCATTTATATTATTTAAGCGTTTAGTTTTTTTTATTTTTAACAACTCCGAAAAAAATAAACACGTATTGTCAGGACACCACGCAGGCATCTACGAATTGAACATGCGACTTATCGAGTGAAACTCGGAGGACCGTGAACAATTTTTTTTATTATGCTTGGACCTATATGAAATTATTGATTTCGAATACACAAAACTAAAACGCCAAAAAATACGGAAAACCGTTCAATTATGAAATAACGAAATCCGCAATCATCCCACCCAAGCATGAGCTTCTAAAGGCTAGGCCTTGTCGTTATAGCCAACCCCTTCTAATCTCTTCAGGTCTGTGTTTAAAGTGAGATTGAAGTCGTTTACCATGTCCTCGAAAAAGCAGGTTTTCAATTCACAACAAACCAGGTCAATAATTTTGGTTTGTATCGATCGAATTGGTTAACTAGTTTGATATTTGTTGTTTTCTAATTTTTTTTTTTTTGCAATCCGGTGAAGTCTATCTATCTATTTATATTTGTAAATTTAACAAAAAAAACTTTTCATTTTAAATGTAAATTAGTAAATAGGCTTTAGGGTAAAAATAACTCAACTGAGAGTTTGGTAGTTTCAAATCTCGGGTTCTGTTATTCTTTTTAACCCGACACTATCTGTTTTTCCGATCTAACTATAATGGGAAATAGTGCAAAATTATATTTCTCAACAAATAAATTGTGGCGTTTAGGTTAAAACTAGAGTTTAAGCAAAAAAATAAGCAAATTTGAAGAGGGAGATATTTTTATGGGCAGTTTAAATACATTTTGTTGTTGAAATGCATTTAAACAAATGCTCCATCTACGATAGTATTTATGGAATATTTAGTATTGAAAATCGATAGTAGGTATTCGTTTCACCTCCAAAAATAAAAGTTTCAAAAAATAATTGACTTTTTAGAACTGCTTGTTTTTTAAATAATTTAAAATTATTGTCAAAAAAAAAAAATCCAAAATACAATTAATACTTACCGAGATATCACTATGGGTATATCTGTATACGTCGTGGGATCCATGTATATTATATTATTTATAAATATACAAATATCCCTACTTCCTCCAAATTTGTACTCAAATTTATACTCCGACAAGTATCTATATTATTTGCGTTTTTTCCCGAAAACAATATTTTCTTTTTTTAAACATTTTTACTGTTAATGCAGACTGTAGTAACACGCAAAGATCTGACGTCTGAAATAATTTTTGTCCCGTTCAATATTTCTTAAAGTTTTTTCTTCTTGTGACAATATTGTACCCCTTGCGCTATTTTATATGTTTTTTTTTAAAATTAAAAATAAATAATTGTTATTACAAAATCCAAGATCGTTGTTTCATAAGTAAGTTTTGAAACAAAATATTTACAAATTATGAGTACCAATCGATAATTGTCTACAATTTTCGAAGGTTACGATACTTTAAATTGTGTTCATTGCTTTTATTAAATAATATTTATCGATTTGCCAATTGTCTATGAAAACAAATTTTGTTTTAAAGTTAATGAAAATCTTGGATTTTGTAAAAATAATTTTTTATTTACGGGTTAAAACATATTATAAAACAGAAGAATTATTATATGGGTTTGGGGGTCTTGAAATTATTAAAAAATATTGAACAGAATAAAAGTTATTTTAGGTGTCAGATCTCCTTGTTACACCTTGTATACATTCATTACATATATGCGCATTTTACAGTATATACACTGCACAGTAATTCATAAAATAACTATGCCGTACTGCAGTTGTGATATCATATTAATGTATTACGATTGTTATATTTTCCGAAATTATCTTTTTTCTATTCAATCACATATACACCGTACAGTACATGGTTACTGATATATAATTGTAAATTGCGATACAATTTTACTTAAGATGACGCCACACAATTATGCATTTGTTGTACCCGTCTTTTTCAAACGTTTAACATTGGACATTTTCGTTTAGTAGAGCCAATTTTCGGTTGTTAGTTTTGATATGAGAGTAAACTGTGCTATTATTATCAACCATAAAGATGAATCTGCACGTTTGTAGATAATTTTTTGATTTCGTTTTTTTTTTTGTTATTGAAATTTTTAGGCGATATAGATACGAATATGTGTGAAATATCACAATTTAAAAATGCTCGTATACTATGCTTGTACGTCGGAAAAGCGTGTTTCTTCCGAATCTAGTTCAAATCTTCATTCTAGTCATTTCAAATTGTAGTTTTGTCATTTGGACCTTACACAGCGAAAAACTCTGTATTCTATAACGATCGAGTGTGTTCAGCACACACATTTTTAAATTATAATATTATTAAATCGCGTTCTGAAGACTGAGTGTTCATCACGTGTTTATACACCCGTTCTACTGTTCCGTAATGTCGGTTTTTTGCACAATTGTTTTTGCCGTATCCAAAATTGCTAATCCAAAATTGTGGATTCGTAAGACTGCGGCAGAGCACAATAAAGAGTAACAAACGTATGACGCGTACCTAAACGTCCTCTTAAATTCGATTAGATTGCACGAAATACCGAATGTTTCGTAGAATGTCGAACGACGATCAAATATAACATTATGTAGTTATCGTACCTATTATAATGAAATGGGATTTTTTTTTTTGCCAACCTATTATATTACAAACAGTAATGGAAAAAAAAAAAAAAAAGCATTTTCTTCGGCAGAATAATCGAATGACGTATCGTTCCAAATGCGATATTTTACAGTCGATCGAATAACTTAACGCTATAAAGACTAAATAACAATGTTGCTATCAATATGCACCGATAAGAGCGGGGCATCTCACTCGTGTTCGGATTCCGTGAATTATTATTATTCGTATTATAATATTATTGTTATTATTTGTATTGTTAAAATATTCGTATCGTCTAATTACCAATAACAGTGGTCATTGTATTAGTGTTTTTTTAAACGTGTTTAAATAAACGTCGAATCGTTGCAGTCGGCGTACCATAATACGAGTTACGATCGTATAATCGTTGCGGCTCCCAGCGACGCGGACACAAAAGTTTACATTTCAAATGCGAACCGGTAAAAAAAAAAAAAAAAAAAAAAACGTCCTAGGATAATGGAGACGGGTGCAGCCACTGTTAAAGATAATCTAATGTTTTCCTGTAAGCGACAATAAATCATTGCTTACGAAAAAACGATTCTCAGCGGAGTTCAGTTGATAGTGATAGATGCTTTGTCAACAATACTCGTATGTATATGATTTTATAGTAAATAGGCTTTATATATTTTCTTTAATAATATTTGTTTCATATTGTACCGATTTTCCCAGTTTTCCTGCGTTTTTCTTGGTTTTCCCATGGTTGATCTCGGTTTTCACATTTGCTGAGAAAATTTTCGATAAAAAATCGAAAATGACCTCTTTATAAAGTACCTCACTAGTGAAATATTTTTTTAAGAAACATTGCTATCATTAAAAGTTGAAGTAAATGTGCTGATAGAAAAGTTGTCCATAGAAAAAAAAAATCGTAAGATTATATTTATTATATTTCTTATATTTTATCCTTTTTTTTTTTCGGTTTTTTGCATTTGATGAGAAAACTCTTGAGAATATCGAGAAAATGACCTCTTTAAAATACCTCCTTATGCCGATTTTCTTTCAGAAAAAGAACTACACGTAGAAATCCGAGTAAGTCTTCTGATGGAAGAGTTGCGCACAGATAAAAAAAATAAAAAAAAAAAAAAATAAATGGTTAAAATGTCGTTATTATTAATGTTATTATTTTTAACCGGACGGTCAAGTGTTATTGACTGTCGACTTGATGAAAAACAACACATTTTTTGTTTTTTTTTTTTTTACTCATAAACCGATTTTCGATTTTTATTTTTACTTATTACAATAAACAACACTAACGTAATCCGATGTTGTCATTCGGTTTTTTTTTTTTACGTTCATTCAAACGGTTGACTTCAGTAAAATATTAAAACGATATTTGACCGACACGTGGTATAATATTATGATGTCTACACGGTACTGTGCAAATACGTAATATCCTCGTTACAGAAAATTATTATAGGTGATCATTTGGTAAATGGGTTTTTTTTTCGATTACGCGCGTTGTATAGAATTCATACGTACAGCACGAGATCACTCGATAAACCTGCGCGGGATAATCCGACTTTTGTCGATCATCAGCATTCGTTCGTACAACCGCCACGGAAACAATAGTCGATTAACCTCGAGTTTTCGTCCATACGTTTTATGTAGTAAAAAAAAAAAAAAAAAAGCAAAAACAAAAAAAGAGTTTTGATTCAGTATTTCGCTTTAATTATTTCTTTTAGATTTTGAGTTGCGTGCATTTTCGTCTCGGACATCTTTTCTGAAAATAAATTTCGTATAATTGCTTATTTTGAGGGAAATTTAGAAAAAAAAGGACAAGCTTACGGCATGAACGTTTGATTATTTTCGATTTAGTTCTTTGTTGTTGTAATTACGTTAAACATAACTGTAGAAATTTTAAAAACATTCTGAGGTCCTGAACATTGTTGAGCTATTTACAAGCACACGATATTTTTGAGTTTTAGATTCTGAGCGGCGCAACGAATATACACTGTAGGTATCTAGTATCAAGTTTGCTTATTTTGTTATATTTTGTTACATTTTGGCTCTAGTTGGTGCATTGTGGTGGTCATATTTTTATTCTCCAAGTGGTTTTTGGAAAATAAATTTGGAAATGACCGTCAAAAACAGATAAATTTACGGCAGTTCGGGTTTAGTTTTTCTCCTAGTATCTTGTTCTGAATTTCAAGAAAAAAAGAAAATTTTGTATAGTTTGTGTTAGTAAACAAAAATATCATTTTTTTAATAGTTGAAAAAACGTAAGAAAACAGGCCAATTTACTGGAATAACGGTTTAATTATGTTTTTTTTTTTGAAATTTGGTTTAAATTTCCAAACTCTTCTGTTGATTTTTGAGCTATTTATTGACATTTGACATTTCATTTGGTATTGTATGAATAAAACTATTTTGCCGATTAGAAGTGCTTGATGATTTAACACGAGATTTATTATAAGGTGTATTTAGTTGTAAAAAATAAAGTCGTGTTTTATGTGATAGTTTTTATTTTACATAATAAGCGTTTTATGTTTAAATCTTGGCGAATATCGGAAAAATCACGACATTTCAAAACATAACTGAACTTCATTGAGTTGAAACGTACGATTATAAGTTTTTTTCTTTCTTTTAATCATAAACTATTACTGTATACCTAGTTTTTTCAAAAGTTAATCGCGTTTCTCTGTATATATCCGTATCTGCAGATAATATTATAATCGGTTTTAGTATAAATTCGCTTCGATTTGATGCAAAAACAATTATACGATTTAATTTACATAATGTTTTCGCGAAATTATAATGGTTTTAATAATAACAAACATCAGCAACAGACATTTTCCTTTGAAATGAAAACCGTTTTCACGTTTCATCCGTAACGGAGACAAATAGTCAATTTTAATAGCATTGAAAACAACGGCGCTTATCTCGACTCGGCTCGAAAATAATAGAAAAATTCGACGCACGAAATGTATTTCGTAGGTTATTAGGTTATTCTAGACGGTGCCGTGACGCCGATGACGCAGAGCAAAGATGACGCGGCGGGCCGTTTCTTTTTTTTTTTCTTTTTAAATTACATCTTTATGCGCGCGACTGCTACAAGTGCTCTTAATAATCGCATGGCTCCGCGCCGTGTGCTATACGCCCGGCGTACTATTTATTATTATAATTTAAAAAAAAAACGATCTCGTATGCGTATAAGTATAAATTGTGTAATTTATATTCGCGTTCGTGAACTGTTTAACTTAGCGGCGGCGTTAATTAAATTAAAATAAATTATTGTTGCACAGCGACTCGTAACCGCGCTCGATGACCATCGTCAACATGTCCGTAATAAACGCTCTAAGCGCGTATAGGTTTTCATTAGCCGTCCGTGTTCAACGCGTATCGTGTCTGCTCGCGTCTCTGCGTAGATTCGATTCGTTTCAATAGGGCCCGTGGACGTTTACGGTTATCAACGACGAAATCGAGAACATTTACAAATCGGGCGGACGTTTCTGATCACGCGCATGTTTGTCTCCGTCTTGCGAATACACGACGTAGGTATGTACGCGGCAGATTTGCGGTCGGCGAAGTAAAAAAAAAAATAATACAAAAAAAAAAAAAAAAAACTAACGCCGAACATTGATCATAATATTCAAACTCGTATTGCGTATCGCTTAGAAGCGTAATTTGCAGAATCCCGGTACAATACGCCCAGCGATAAGTCACCGTCTCTCTAAAAAAAAAAAAAAATTATCAACGAGTTACGAGAGCATGTTTTTCAATAAAAAACTAGTCGCGCGCGTGCATGCATACGTTGACATAATTTAACACTATTGATTGATTATTATTTTCCATCGGTATTATTCATTTTCGAACAACACTCGTGTTGTCCGAATATAATATTATAAACGTCATTGTTTACGGTTAGATCGAATTGCGATGTGTCAACAAATGTGTAAAACAATCCGCATGTGTTCCCAAATGCATCTGTGATGACACCGGTGGCGTCGGCATTGTTCCTTTTTTAATCAGAAATCCCCCGATGACATCACCGATGACCTTATCAATCACCGCGTTAAAGAGGTTGTCGAGTGACAGGTGGTACGGTGAATTCGTTATCATGCCGATAACATTTAATTTATTATTTCATATTCGATAACATCTGCTGCAGTGACAGTAGTTCCATCGCTAGTGACCGAAAACGATGTCCCTTTTAACTTTTATTGTGTTATCGAACAACATTTAGGATCATTTTCACCCGTATGGAGTAATTATTTTTGACAAAAATGATCGTTAAATTAGATAATTTCGTTGCTATATTCCGAATGAAATATTTTGTTACTTTTATTAGAATATCCGCATCACATCGATGCTTGTACGTCAATATAATAGTTTTGACTTTATGCATTTGGCCTCACTTTACTTGCGCATCACGTGTAAGCAATACGTTACCCCTTAAATCGATAATTTTCGCAAACCTCATAATAAAGTTTGAAAACAAAAAAAAAAAATGATTGTGCGATATTTTAATGACCAACACTAAACGAATATAGTGATCACCTTGTTCTCGTAAAAATATAATATTATTAGGAGTTACACCGGCGAATACAATTCATCGGAGTCAACAGTATTTCTCTGCTGGGACTTTGAACTGTGTTAATGAAACGTAATATTATGTTTGGTTCATAATAATTGTGGATATTATAACACAGCGTGTTTCACTTTAATGATAATACGAAATGTTTCAGCCGGATAGACTCAGATTGAAATGGTTTTTTTTTTTTTTTTTTTTACAAATTGTTGCAACTAATGTAACCCATTATAACTTACGTAATTTGTTACTGTCTCAAAAATTGCCCTTAACTCGGGGGTATAAGAATAATAAGCACCGAGTTGATTATTAAAAATTCAACTCCTGAACAATGTGCAATGTGCATGCCTAAAACAATATTTAAATTTTCTTAAACACTCATTGTTAGGAACAGTCGAATTTTTTTTTTTTAGCGACTTTGACTATTACGATTTGTTTCTGTCTCAAAAATTGTCTCAATTTCATATAAATACGATTTATTAAAACATATTATTATTTTTCGATTTTTCAAAAAATTTAAAATTTTCGGTTCTAAAATTGAAGAAATTCGATTACGGCAATAGTTTTACGGGGGCAAATGTATAAGTAATCAAAATAATCATAATATTCTGCATAATAACCGATCTTCTTAAACGAAACTCCACTTAAATCCTAAGTCTATCATGCTAAAATGTTCCGTGTTACTATTATTTTAGTGAAAAAACGCACTGTATATAACATAACTCACTCTGTTCGTCGTTTCAAAAACCGCCAAGACGCGTTTTTAGGCACTTTTAATAAGAATTTTCCTTTCCAGTCGTTTCTGTTCGCGTCCGTCATAATCTTTATCGTCTCATAATGTGCACTTACTGTAAATCGATTTACGGATTGTGATTCGATGGCGTCGTTATGTTATGGAGTAGTTATAGTTCTGTGAGTCTGTAGACTCGCACATCAATGTGGGTGTGTGATGAATAAATATGTATAGTAGGAAGAATGGCTAAAACGAAAAGTCATTAAATGTTTTTGTGCAAAATGCTTTGAGGTGTTAAAACGCGAGTTAATCTATAAACGGATTTCATTCATTTGTTGTGATATTTTTTCAATAAACGGGCGTGGGTGTGTAATATTATGGTTCGTTGTCCCTCATGCAGTACAAGTTTACACCGCCGCCACTGAATTCTGTATACTCATATTCAAATAAAAAAAATGTAAAAAAAAAAAAAATGATAATAATAAAAACAATAATGTTGTATAATATGCGTATTATTCGCAACAAAAAACAGTTTATTTTATTATTATAATAACAATATTATGTTCAATGGAAAACAGTAATTGCGTTTATCAAATGCGTATACTTCTTTATCGACACGATTGCGTGTGTTCTACTATAATGGCATTATAATCAATAAAATTGTATTATTGCAGCATCGCTACTCATAGTTTTTACCGGATACAAATATAATATAATATACTATATTATGTGATGTGATATACCTACCTAATTTAATTTGTATAGATTAATTTAAAAAAAAAAAAAAATCTGAAAATAATGAAATACCGTAAATCGTATGTTCTTTTTTCGAGTTTTCTCAATTATTGTTATTGCCGTTCGGAAAATAAAAAAAATGACCCCGATACATCCACTATGGATTCAAAATTCAACAAAAAAGATATTTTGTTATTTTTTGATCGGAGCAAGATTTTTGGTAGATAAGTAGTAAATTCTTTACAAGTAAAACAAATTAATAAATAATCTTACGTCATAATGAAACCAACGAATTCCTCAGAATCTAAAAAATTATATTTGTTTATTTAATTGACTTATTTAAACATAAACCGCGCATATATATTGAAAAAACCGCTGATGGGTATTTCACTATTTTAGGAGAGAAATTGGAAGCAAGGATATAAAGAGTACCTAATCTAATCTATATATGCACCCAATGATGGACCACTGATAAAGGAAAATAAAGTATTTTTTTCCTTTATACCAATCCGGAAATCAAAAAAAAAAAAAAAAAAATGTGCAAACTATTGTCAGTTTTTCACATTTATTAAGACAACTACGAGGAAATTAAAATAAAAAGACCACCTCGTGCACCAACTAGAAGAAAAATGCTACAAGAACGTGCCTAAAGGTTTTTACTGGAGCGAGATATCTAATAGAAAAGTTGTTTACCAACACACGCAAAAAAAAAAAAAAGAAAAAAAAAGAAACACATAGTAAAACCAATACATTTCTCGTTTCGCTCAGAATCTAAAACGGGAAATAGTAAATATACTCGTAGAATTTTCGAATTGCACGCAGGCATCATTACGTTGTTATAATTGTATACGCACACTGATATCAGCGATGAGATCCGATTCGAAATTCAAGTATATTAGTAATAGTTTATTATTTTCCGAACCGCTAATCAAATATAATTATTCACGATTTGAAGTCATAATATTATATTATTATTACCTGTTGTATGAAACACTAGGAAAGGTCATCTTAATATCTTTTACAGTTTAGGTCATCGTTGGGTATCATCTATATTACTAATAAAATCATTCCATTCTGATTGTGTGATAGAGCTGTGTTGTACTTACACAAAACGTGTATTTTACGAATTCTTTATAGAAATATACACATTTCGATTTTAAACGTTCTAAATATTGTTTCAATTATATTTTACATACATATATTAGACTCTGAGTGCATAGCGTAGAAACTAGATGCTATTAGTTTTCCTAAGATGTATTGTTTCTCTACGGAAACACTTTTCCGGTTAACAAACATTTTCTAAATTATTATCACCAAACTGTATAGTACGTGGATATTTCGTCCGGCGGTACTTTATTTGCAAAAAACCGTCTTGGTTTCCTACATTTTCGAGCTACAATTGAAAAAACACATTTATATTACTCCGCTCAAAATCGGAATGATGTACCCTCGCTTTGAGTATACACATTAAATTACAAGTGACCTACACGTGGTGTGAAGTACTGAAGTTTATTACGTTCGGTTTTTATCCATACATCGGTTTACTAAAATTGTGTTTTTCCACGTGCGCAAGCTGATAAATATAGTTATTTTTGAACTTATAACAATGTACATTAATAGAGTCTGATACTGCTGATGGGCGTGCCACTGTTTTGGGGGGAGAAATTGTAACTGAGGAAATTTAGAGTGATTCAATTTATATCTTTACGCAACGATAAACTGTTGTTAACGGAAAACGATTCTGAGCAGAGTATTATTAGCCATATTTTCCCCTTGTTTCCAAGTTAGCTTAGAAATCAATAAAAATGATACACAAATATCCAGTTTTCTCCATTTACCAAGAAAACTATTAGAAAAATCAAAAAATGACTGGCTAGATCATAAATGCTACAAGAAAATTGCTACCTACTATACCTAGTTATACCTACTCGTACGTAACATATACAAAATTTAGCAATGTTTTTCAATTCAAATTGGACGTATCGATTATAGTTATTTAATAGAAATACAATTTTATTAATATTATATTTCGTATGTTTCAATGTAAAAACAAAGTTTAATTGCGGTTACACGTTATGAGTAAATAGATTTTAATTTGGAATGGGGATATAATATTACGATGAGCGTATATCATTTCTATAAATATTATACAGTTGATTATACAGCCGTTGGACTATGAAGTCAGCACGCATATGTATAAATTATGCGTATGTATTTTTTTTTATCGCCATCGAATTTTTATGATACCTGTATGAAAACAGAGGCTATTCCGCGTAAACCCAAGTAAAAAGATAAATAAAATAGATTTTAAAGTGTAATTGTACACAGGTAAAAGGCATAACCTTTATATTGTTACATTCTTGTTTTAGAAAATAAGTCCGCAGTATTTCTTATGACGAAGCGGCCGTTTTCAAAATCGGTAGAAAGTAACGGGTTTAAAAATAAGCGGGCGCTCTGTGTTTCGGTGAAACGACCACATTGTATTATACAGGCACACGTTATGGACAATTATCGCTCACCGCAATAACGATAGCCTCCGACTGGTTGGGAAACTGCGTAAGGAAAATGTCGGTTGTTTTCAAAATCGCCCATCTGGCGGTTCGTGCACAATTAAAAACGGCGTACGTTTTAAATTGTAAATTCGTTTTCAATACCAGCCATATCGAACGGATTTCGCAACAAAACTTCCGGTGTCGGTCACTTCTATGTAACGGTCATTATTTCCGGTCCCTTCGGTGACCGTTATGCCATGGATGTTTTATTGTATACCGAAATCATCTACGCGGACGTCTGTGTATAACTCGCTCAGGTAGTAAACATCCGTTTACAGAATACATCTTCAAAAACCGTATACTTGCTGCGCGCACTCCGAAACTATATGATATTCTCACGATTCCATGTATGCCGATTACAAAACCACCGAGTAAAAAATTCCGAACAAAATGGCATCCCGTCCGTGAATTGTACGCCGTCTATCTATAGTGCGTTATTAATATCTAATTGTGATATTCGTACACCAATCAGTCGTCTATTAATATATTGCGTTTTGAGCACATTATTACAGTCGGCGGAATATCAAACCCAATTGAGATCAATAAAACCTCAACGTTCGGTTAGGTGTACGAATTGTATATTGATGTCGAGGAGACCGTTTGCATCACCGTCGTTTACGCATCATATTACAATATAGCAACCATATACATAACATGTTATTGCCCGTCAATTGACGCAGTGTAGAGACGTTTGTACGACCGTTAGACGTGACGAATCCAATAAAACCGCAATAATTGACGGTCCGTGAAAATGTCTTGTACTGCAAAATACCCGACTGCTTGTGTCACCCGAACACTCGAACCCAAAAACGAAATATTATTTCGAAAATTCTTATTGGTTTTGTAATGTACAAAAGTTAAGGTTCGAGTCACTTTTGGATGCCGAGTGGAGCAAGGAATGCATTGGTTTTACAATGATGCTTATTATTATTTTTTTATGTGAACACTTTTTCTACCAGAGAGCTTACTCCGATTATCAAGTATAGCACCTTTTATGAAAGGAAATGTTCTTTGGGTGGTACGTAAGCAAGGAGGGCATTTTTTTACAATTCTCATTAATATTCGAGATAATGAGGAAAATCCGGTTCTTTTTAGGTTAAAAAAGATTGAAAGATTAAAAATAAGGTTGTCATTGTATTTGTTTTTTTTTTGTTATTCAATTTGTATTATTTCAATTTTTTTTAAACAATCATCGTTGTAATGGAAACGGACATTGTAATCATTTATCATTTACATGTAAACTATGGTTTATCGTTGCTTACAGATATCATTAAATTCTCGTCCGTATTCTACCATCCCAACTTCCCGCCTATAACAGTGGCTGCATCCAAATGTGAAGTATGTCCGTCCTTTTTTTTAATGCGCAACTAATAAAAATAAAAATAAAATGTAAAATACGATTTTTGGTAGGTGTATAATATAGTATATACATATGATAATAAGTTGATTTAGGGCAGTGTTTTTTAATCTTTTACGAATCGCAACCTCCTATTTTTGTCCATGTAAGACAATCCCTTAAAAATGATTTAACAGAACTTCAATAATACGATAAACAGTACGCATGTATACATGAAACTTTTTAAAGGCCTTTTCATTCACGTAAACGCATTTTTTTTTTTTATCTAACTCGTTAGAAATAAGGAAGGCGGCTTCTTGGTAACTTCGTTATTTTTCTTAGTTAATTAGTTTTAATTATCCAGTTATTTTATTGTTAAAATTTAAGTTATTTCCAAAACGTCTTTAAAGAATTATTTATTACGAAAAACTGTAGATATCTGATATGTGTTTCGCATTTACATTTCACCGGAAGTTAAGTTTTTATTTTATGTTAATATTATTATCGACGTTTATCATATTAGAATATAAAATACGTTTATGCGAATGTAGATATGCAAGGCCGTTAAGGGTAATTTTAAAAAAAAGATCTACATTTAACCCGGGTAATTTAAGTTAAAATTTTCCTTTGGGGATCGGTTAATTTTTGACACACACAAAAAATGTATGTGTGTCCGTTTGGATTTGATCCGTTAAAATGTTAAATAACATTTAAAAAGCCCAACACTAATTTTCCCGAAAACGTGGAAGATTTCATTCCAATTCGTTTATATTTTATAACGAACTTTAATTTAAGTTAATGTAATTCTAATATTATTTTTATTTTTGGATGGCTCATCTCAAACTAGTTGAATGGAAAATCGGTTAATTTATCCGGTTTTGAACATTTTTGTGTGCACGCACGCCAAAATTATCGAATGTACGTCACGGAGAGACGGGGGGGGGGGAAATCTCGTTTTATTCTACAGCGCGTGACGATATTATGTTATTTATCAATCGATCGCGTCTGTTCAATAAAAAATTCGTACATTATCGAAGGCGTATTTCGTCATATTTTATACATGAGTACGTCATCCGCGGCGCGGGACCGCGAGCACTGACACGCGTATAATTTGATAGACGAGCGGTGCAGAATATTATTATTTTATTATTTCCCTCTCCCGTTCTGCAGGTTGTCGGAATTTATTACGTTTCTCCCGGCGTATGGGGGAAAAAAAAAGACAAGTATTAATAAAAAAATAACAAACAACATATTTTCCACGATGGGTGGGCCGCTGTTGTAGGTGAGAAGTCGGGAAGGTAGATGGACAATTTATGCATATCTATACGCAACGGTTAACCATTGCTAACGAAAAACGATTCTGAGCGGCGGAGTTAGGTTATACATGTTTTGAAAAGCCGTAATATTTACGATTTGAAATAAAAAAAAGTGACTTCCCTAATGCACCACCCCAGTCGGATTTACTATCAGAAAAAGTGATACACTTGAAAATCAGAGTGAAATTTCCGGTAGAAAAGTTGTTAATAGGACAAAAATAAACATCATTCTAAAAACCAAAACATTTCTCGCTCAGCTCAGAGTTTAAAAAAAGTACAGAAATGTGAGGTACCTGTCTATAAACGGTTCACGCGGTCAAAATAATTGTTTTTTTTCCAAACGTCTTATGACCACGAAGTATGTTCAATATGACGCGAGACTTCGAACGTTATATTTGATATTCAAAATATCATAATAAACAAGTACAAGTATAAGTATATATTTATATTAATTTACCCCTTTAAGCATAGCTTGTGGTGGGGTAAACGAGTTATTTGTTAACAAACTTTAAAAATAAAAATAAACAGAATATTAATAATAATTTGTGGTATTAGACACTTTCATCTTACAAAGATCAGCGATCTGCATCGCCTCGTTGGAAATATCGATTACCGTCGTATTAATATCTTCTTAACCACGATATATTATATAAATTAGTATTGCAATTTAAATTCACGTTCATTATTTATTTCCCGTGTTATCATATTGCCTGCAGTGATGGCTCGAAGGAGGTATGTTTAAATCATGTGATTCACAAAAAAAGGGTGAGTGGGCCGTGGGTGCCTGGGTGTTTAGATATATAACAAAAATTATTATGTTTTTACAGAACAAAAGTCGTTAAAAGAATTTTAGACTGTTGAAATTTGATAAATTTGACGAATGTCATTTGTCATAGGGTGAGGGTATTTTTGGGTTGGGGTGGGTGAAAAGCTAAATTGGTGATTCCAAGTTAAAAATTATTTCGAGCCGCTGAGTACATTTATAGTTGTTCTTAAACGATTTTCACTCGTTTATTAAACGTTTTTAGTGACTTTTTTTTAACTGTTAAAATATCGATTTAACATTCTTTTGAATATATTATATTAAATCGCCATCACTTGTATTGGTTTTTTTTTTCACAGTATTTTGTAATACACCTATATTTTTATGGAGTTTCGTTCATGTTTATAAAAATAATACATTTACGTGTTTAAACGATAATATTTAGACGGAAATGAACAAGAAAACAATTTATTCTCAGCGTTTTAAACGCGTATAAATCCGTTTTCCGTAATGATAGTAATAAATATAATAATTAATTTGGAACGGGCGATTTGATACCCTGCGACACTTGAGACAGTACCGAACATCGAAATTCGAAATCGAGGACATTTTCGGTATCTATCGATTTCGATATTTTATTATGTTAAAACGATGAGCGCTAACGTAGTAATCCCGCTGTGATTTAAAAAATTTAATTAATTAAATTAGTATTTTAAATTCTGAGTGTAGCGAGAAATGTATTGATTTTACTATATCATGATGCGTATTTAAATGTGTATTTGTTTTCTTCTGTCTGTAAACAACTGTTTTTTTACCAAAATTCTTGCTCCGATTTTATCAAGTCGATATATTGGGGAGGTCATGTTCCTTGTAGTTTTCTTAATAATTGGGAAAAACGTAGGGAAATTTATGGTAATACGGTTTTTTATTATCTTTTTGTTTTTTCATTGTAATTTTGATGATTGGTCAATTATTGCATTGACCCGGAATGTTCGAAGAATAAGTGAATATGATGAACATGCGCACTCATATTAGTCTTTTCTAGACGCGGTGATATTTTTGAGCATTGTAGAGCTATTTATTTAGACATTTTAGATTAGCGAGGTTAAGTAATTTGTCTTTGATTTAATGCGGATAAAAGTGTTCTGGCCCAGCCAAAACTCTTTGAAACTTTAAACACGAGGTTCAACATAAGTTGTAATTGGCGGTAAGTCCAGCGAAATGTATAGACGTTTTTCAAGCGTTGAAATTTGTTGAAAAAGTTGAAATTTTACGAAAATCGTACGCGATCATCGTTCAAAATCGTTTTCCGTTAACAGTGATTTATCGTGCAAAACGCATTTACCTCGTATGCAATTACGTTTTTTTTTTGAGGTAATTGCCTCATGACTAAAATATGTGGGTGAGTGGATGACCAAATATATTTAATGTTGATTGATATTGACTAGTTTATAAAGATCAGAGGTGCTTTTAGTTTATTTATTATATTTATAATATACCTACTAACAAATACGATAGCCTATATTACGTAGTCAATACGGGTAAATAAAGTTTTTAGTGTAATTATTTGTAGGACATAGATAAAAATCTATGTTTTGATCGGGTTGGGCCCTAAATTTTTTGTTTTGCCACAAATATGAAAGTATGTCAGTACGCCAATGCTCGTATGTATTCTACATTTCTAACTTTTCGCCTATCAGAGTACCTATTTACTGTAAAGCGCTCTATATTCTCAACAATAATTACACGGGGACAGACTTCAGAAGGGCGTACCGGAGTGTTGAGGTTTTTTTTTCAGTATTTTAGATTCTGAGTGGAGCGAAGAATGTAACGGTTTTATAAGGATGATTATATTTCTTTTCCTGTGAACAACTTTTTCACCAGACAGTTTGCATCACTATCAACTGAACGCCGCTCAGAATCGTTTTTAGTAAGCCACGGTTTATCGTTGTTTATAGATACAAATTAATTTCCTCTCTATATCCTACCTTACCGACTTCTCACCAACAATAGTGGCTGCACCCGCTATCCTAGGACAGCTTTTTTTTTTCTTTTTTCTTTTCCTAATGAGACTCCGTAAATTTTTTCCAAGTGGATAATATTAGGATATCTAAACGAGGCGAAACGTCAACAGGACACCGAAACGTAATGTTTTGCTCTCTATACAGCACAATGATATTGTTCGGTATTTGGTCTGGTGCTTACGTCACGCGCTCATGTCGTACAATATAAACGCGCGAGTATCGGCGCGCGCGCCCGCGTGCGTGCCGGCGGCGCCGTCCGTGTTGTTGTCCCGTGTGCGCGCGTTGCGACGGTCGCGTCCCGTCCGTCTCTCCTGTCGGCCGTTTTTCGTGTTTTCCCCCGGGGACGTGTCGCACGCGGACGCCGTCGTCACCGGTCCCCGATAACGACTGCGGCGTATTGTCCCGGTTCCATAATATTTACACCGGGGCGCGTAGAATATCGCCGTGAGAATAACAACGAAAACCGCTACCGATTACAATAACGTCACCGTACGGCCGGGCGAAAAGACGACATTGTCATATTTTACAACAACAATAATATACGGCAATATCGCCGAAAACGTATTTAATTCACACGTGTGGTCGTTGCGTTTTTCGCAGGGATGCGGTAAACGGACAGCCAACAGCAGCAGCAGCAGCAGCAGCAACAGCAGCGGCAGCGGCAGCGGCTCCAGTAACGGCAGCGGTTCCAAAAACGGCAACGGCACCAGCGCCAGCCGGTGGTAACGACGAATAGGTACTGTAGCACGCCATACAAATTATACGGTAACGGGGTTCTGACATTTCGCGAAACGCTCTCGCGAAATATTTCAATTTTGACGGACAACAAAAATGGCGTTTAATCTTAGACTCGGAGCGTGGCGAGTAATGCATCGGTTTTACAATGACGTTTATTTTTTTTCCCGTGAGCGACACGTCCACCGGAAATCTTGTTCGTATGCATCAAGTGTAGCACCTTTTGTGAAACGCGATTTGATCCACTCGGTATTATAGGGGAGTCGTTTTTTTCGATTTTCCCAGCGGTTTTCATAATAATCGGGAAAAACTGCGGAAAAAACGTATGAAAATGTACGTACACTCGTAAAAGAAACTTCGTTCTTAATCGTTTTACGTTAGCAATGGTTTATCGTTGCGCACAGATATAAATGAAATTCCCATTTATATCCTACCTTCCCGACTACTACTCACCTATAACAGTGGCCCGCCCGTCGTGCGAGGTACGCCCGTCTTTTTGAATTCAAAACTCTAATGTGCAATATGCAAGTTTATACCCGAGATCGAGATTCCCACTTTTTTATTTTAATTCCACCAAAAATAAAAATATTTCAGTTTTTTTGATTACTCCTATTTTCTCATGGTTTTTTTTACGATTTTCTGAGATAAAATCAAAAACGCGGGACTTGACGAATTCAAATCCGTTTTCAGAATTCAAATCGCTTCGCCAGATCAATCGGTACGTCACAAATACTACGCATTTAAATGTGCCAATGTCGCGCGTACGCTAAGACAGAAACAAAATGTCGTCGCTCCCGATCCGGCACCGAATGGCCCTGTGCGTAACATTTAAGTAACCGTTAACAACAAATTCGAAACACTTACAATCACACTATCCGTGACGAATAATTCAGTTTTAATTTTCGAACTCGTAGTTGTTTATTTGTTTATTACGGCACAAGGCCGATTCGAATAAACAACGTGTCGTTTAAAGTTCAATGCGAACCCGATTTATACTACCCGATAATTAGTCGGTAATGTTATCACGACTCAACAAAATCGGACCGACAAACAAATATTGAAAACGATAGTGTATTTTCAAATATTTCTAGTAGTGCGAAATATTAATTCACACTCGTAACTAGACATACAATACACAGTCGTCACGAAAACAGGGTCGAATTTCATTTATTTTTCCGAACTGTCGCACTCTGGTTAAAATTAACGGCGTTTGGTCGAACGGCTCTCGTGTTTCAACAAAAATTTTCCTCCACACCCGTAAAATTCAATCCTTTCGCCGTTAGAAATCGGTTGTTTTAGATTCGGTGCGTGGCGAGGGGGGGGGATCTATTGGTTTTGCTATGTCGCGTCGTGTGTTCGCCTCTTTTTTTCTGTCTATGAAGACGTTTTCCGTCAGAAAACTTTCTCTGGAGTATAGACTATAGCACAAATTTGTTTTTTTCTTTATTTTTATAGTTTTTAAAATCAAATTTTGACGAAAATCGTAAATATTGCGGCCTTTCGAAACATGTATAATCGAACTTCGCTCCGTATCGTTTTTCATTAGCAATGGTTCAACATTGGTCACAGTGGTTACAGTGGCCGCCTCCGTCCCCCGTATCGGATCTTTTTTTTCTACATGTATTGTAATTTAAAAAAAAAAAAAAACCTTTTTGGCCTCGTCAAACAACATCCCAGAATACGTATAACCATTTTTCGACACGATCGGCTATTCGACGCGTTTTTGACCCGAACGCGGTTCGGTCGTTTTGGTTTCGGTAAAAAGTCAAATTCTACCATGACGTATCCCCACGAAAACACGCGTGCAGCGTAATAACAATCGATTTATATTATTTTATAGCGTACCTATCCGACCGACAGCCGGTCACTCAAGAGTCGCGTGTGGAGCGCGCGGTCTGCTGTACCTCTCGAGGACGAGCCGCAGCCAGGCTAACCGCGGCCTCGTGAGCGCGTGGCCGGGAGGGAAAATCGCCCGGTTGTTTTTCCGACGGTTTTCGTACCCGTTTTCGACCGCGGTCATCTGCTACACCCGGCCAATAACCGGACTTGTCAGTCAATCTCGACCGCCCGCCACACCGACATCGTCATCATGAACAACAGCCGGTGGACGTCCGTGCTTCTGGTGACGGCGTGCGTGTTCGCCGTGGGCGGCACCGGATTCCTGTTGGACGACACGCCGCTCCACTGTTCGGTCCGCCGGAGCATTTCGCCGTGCACGTGCAGCTACTTCACCGGCATGGTCCGGCCCCGGATCATGGTCATCTGCCAGAAAATGGTGTCGTTCGAGAGCGTCATCGCCGCGCTCCAGAACAAGTTCGACGCGGTGTTCGACTACATGCTCAACATCGAGTACTCGGAGCTCCACGACCTGGACACCCGGCGGTTCAACGAGCTGGGCTTCCCAATTGTCGACCTCAAGTTGACCAACAACAATCTCACGTAGGTACCTATACTATTACCTCGGATACATCTCTGCGGCGATGTTGATATACTCTCAATAAAGCGTTTGAAAACGTAAACAAATTCTACAATTTATAAAATAAATCACTTTATATTAATCATTTTTGAAGTGTTTGAAAATTTAGCTTAGTAAGTTCAAGGGAGGGGGGGACTTTTAAATCGCATTATTATTTTTGATATTTTAAATATTATTAAGTGTTTTTTCGAGGCCGTTTTTTTTACGTTTTTAAACGTATTGTTATGGACTTTAAGAGAATATAAATCCGGCCTCTAATTACAATTACAAATGAACAACGTGACGAAATTATTGGACATTACTATAAGAATATTGTGGCGTTAAAGAGGCTTTTAATCGCAAATGACAAAACTTAAAAACGAGGGGATATCGTTTACGAGAGCACCGCTAAAAGATTCAGCTCTCTTATTAAAACGAGGGCAAAAAAAACATTTACAGCCATGTTAGGTTTTTTTTTTCTAATAGATGTAGTATAATGAAGTCGAACAAACCCTAAGAAAAGTATTCAAAAATGACCTCCTTCTCCGTGAACTTTATCTATTTCCCGTCCGCATATTTCTAGGGCTGAGAAATTGCAATTTGGGAAACATCATTCACCACGCTATCCAGTGGCGTATTTAAGGAGACAGATTAGATTTTTACCTTTTTTTTTTATTTGACCCATTGACAAAAATCCATCTTTTTGTCGAATTTTCTCCGAAAATAGAGACTATTGTATTTATGGGCACCATTTGGGGGCTAGAGGGAGACATATCCCCTTTACAGAAAATAATAAAGTATTAAAAAAAAATTACGAAGTGAATTATTATTTTTTGAAGTCAAACATTGTATATTAATATACATTACATTGCCACCTACAACTTACACTGTATAAAGGTCTTTCAGTACTTTGTCGAGACATGGCTAAGGCAATGAAAGGCTTGATGGTTTATGCATGATAAGTGTTCATAGGGAAAACATTGAAGATAGATAAACTGAATTTATTGACAATGTAATAAAAAATGTTGGTATTAAAAAAAAGAAACTTGCAATTTTTATTTTCGCATTAGTAGATATTTTATATTATGATTCCAATACGATGGTATTTGTAAATTATTTATATTTGTGTTATTATTTAAAAATAAATAGTCCAATTATTTACTCAAATGTATAATGTAAACTTTAAACAGTAGAATATTGAAATGTCTTGATTTCAGTACTTAACATTTTTTGAAAGCTAACGTTAACATAATTATATATATATACCCTCCTTTTTTTTCCTCATTCCTTTTCAAGAATTACCAACCTGGTATCTATATGCTATAAAGAGATTTTGGAATCTAGTTTCATTATGTCCCCCATCTTAAAACTACTCTATGGATGCCCTTGACTGCACTGTATTGTGTCTTATATCTTTTTATCGGTATATTTGGGCACTTTACACGGCTCCTTCTGAGTCGAAACTCGGGAATTACGATTTTTTTTTTTTTTGTAGACAGGTTGAAGTGATAACATTTTGGTTGAATTTCAATAATAACTTCACCGTGGTGTTGCGGGAGGAGAGTGTATTTTAGATGAGTACGCCTCTACAGGCTTCCCCGAATGAAGATAGGGAGATTAAAATTTTGTATATGTATGTCGTAAGTATCAAGAATATGCCTTTTAGCGGCTTCAATTATCCACCCCCATCATTTTAACGCTCAGATTTCATTGTTTCACAGAAAATACCGAGTTATAAATACCCTTACAGACTCATTAATGTAAGCTTGATTAAAATGTGTTCAAGGGCGTCCGCAGAAATATAAACCGGGGGGTGGGGGGAAAAGTCAAAAGTATAAGAATTGTTTACAACTTACAACTTACTAGTGGCTAATCATGGCTTAAATATTCAAGTCATTTAAGTAATAAAACAATTGATATTTAATATTAACTAAAATAAGGGGGGGGGGGCTCTTGAACGTATACATATAAATAAAATTTTCGTCAAGGATGTGCCTTTATAGAAGATTTGAACTTCTAACCCATGACTTAACCGTTTGTTTATGTAATGTTAGCAAAAATCTCGAGAACTACTTTACTTGTTTTGATAATACTTTTTCTGTTCGATTCTTTGTGCCATTACCGGACGATTATAGGATAATTTGTTTCACCTGGTAAGAGAAGGGAAAGGTAATCGATCGTGAAGTAGGGAAAAGAGAAATGGTGGACTTGGTTAATGTCAAGTGAATTCAAATCACGAATAAATACAAATTCTGATACTAATTTTATTTTTTTTGGCCCGCGTACACGTGTTATACAAAGACACCATTTCCGAGTTCAGTATCTTCCCATTTGGCGAAATCCTATGTCACTGACCGGATTTGAGTGTATAATCTCGATCGCATCGAAAGGTAAAGCAGTATAGGCAGCATACACAGTTTT